ACTAGAGGCTCTCTGCGCCGCCTTGGAGTTTGCTAAAGGTAAATCTGTAAATATTTACTCCGACTCTGCGTATGCTACTCAGGCTGTCCATTTCAACCTCTCCGAGTGGAAAAGAAACGGCTTCTTGACTGCTAAAGGCCGACCCATCACACATAGAGCCCTGGTGGAGAGGCTGGACAGCGCTCTCCAGCTTCCAAAACAGGTAAGCGTCATCAAGTGCCAAGGGCACTCCAAGTCAGACAACTTTGAGGCCAGGGGAAACGAGGCGGCGGATGAGGCCGCAAAGAAAGCTGCCAACTACAAGGTCAGTACTCCAGGAGTGTTTGTGGTACGGGACGAGGGGCCAGACCTGGCAGACTGCCTGCCCGATCTGTCCCTTCAGGTTTTAGCTGAAGCCCAAACAAAAGCAGCTCCTGAAGAAATATCCATGTGGGTTCAAAAACGGGCAAAGAAGGATCCAGATACTGGCATCTGGTACGGCCCTGATGGCCGCCCCGCCCTGCCCATGGGGGACCTCTCACGAGCGGCTTTATCTGAGGCACATGGGCTAGCCCATGTGGGTCAGGTACAGATGCTCAGGAATATGTCACAATGGTGGCATCCCTTTAAGACAAGCATGATCCAAGATTATACTAGGTCCTGTCAAATATGTCAGAATTATAACCCATCGCCCTGCTCAGCTGTTTCCCCAGGAAAATTCACACCTGCTGCTTGGCCTGGGGCACATGTTGTGATGGACTTCACAGATATGATTAACAGGTGCGCAGGAAAGCGGTACCTGTTGGTCGTCACTGACACCTTTACGGGATGGCCTGAGGCATATCCTGCTGCAAAAGAGGATGCTGCCTCTGTAATCAAAGCCTTAATTCAGCATTACATCCCAACGCATGGCTTTCCCCAGTTAATAAGGTCTGACAATGGGACGCATTTCAGGAACAAACACTTGCAATTGGGTAGAAAAACATCTGGGGCTAAAACATAAATTTGGAACGGTCTACCATCCTCAATCCCAGGGCCGAGTTGAAAGGATGAATCAGACCTTGAAAAGTAAACTCTCTAAAATCCTGGCAACGAGTAAATTGAATTGGCTACAGGCATTGCCTATTGCCCTGTTGTCAGCAAGGCACTCTGTTAACCGCATTCACCATTTCTCCCCATACGAGCTGTTAACAGGGAGGCCTATGCCAGGACCAGGAAACAGGGTGGTGCCTTTCACAAAAGACGACTCCCCAACACCCCCAGTGCGGGTGTACTGGGAACAATTGAGAGAAATGTTGTCTAGTTTTTCCCATCAGGTTGAAGGAAGTCTCGACCTCTGCGAGAAGGAGGCCTCGGAGGATCCACCAGCCTGGGTCCGTGTGAAGGTGTTCAAAAGGAAGTGGAACGAGCCCCGCTGGACCGGACCCTTTGAAGTGGTGGCCCGCACTCGCAAAGCTGTTCAACTGAAGGGACACGGGAACAAGTGGTTTCATCTCTCTCATACGAGACCATCTGACCCACCCTCGTAACCACGCTCACGGGTTGGACAGTGACTCACACACACGCTTACACTCGCTCTTAATATGTTGCCTTGGGACAGGGAGCCCTGGCCCACGACCAAAAGAGGGAGAGCCATCCTATGGGCTATCGCTGCAGTTGGTTTGGTCGTGGTCCTGGGAATTTTAACATGGGAAGTGTTAGAAAACACACAGCTAAGAGACAGGGCCAGACTTGTAACACAATCCAGTCTTTGGTCCAATAAGACTGACAGAAATAAAAGATCCATAGGAGAAGGCAGCGTTAGAGACTCTCTACCTACGGTTGTGACAGTAAAATGCCCGGTGGGTGCGACAATTACAGCCCACATACCAATGGCAACAATCTTTCCATTATCCTTTCGACCTGACTTCACACTCTACCTGTGTTACACACCGTCAACATGTAAATATGAGAGACATGGAAAAAGCTTTAGAGCATCGGTGGACTGCACCTGTGATGCTTGGGAGTATGTTATATCCAATACAGGTCCTGATTGGGGTTATAATAATGAACACAGATTGAAGGGACGAGTGATTCTGACTACAGACCACTCACAAACAACGGTGCTAGTCACTGTGAAAAATTGTGGGATTGATGTGAATGGGACTTACGTTATTGGACATTATCCAGGAGACATTAGACAATGGATTTCAATTGCCCTACCCGAGGACAAGGAGCTAGACAAGGAGGCCATAAATAGTGAAGTATGGCAAGACAAACAAAACGTACAGGTGACTGCTGACTGGACTGTTTCTGAATTGTTAAAACAAGCAACTGGATATGGGGATAGAAACGCTTGGTTGTGGACAGTGGAGCACATGTCAGCGGCTGCTGGCTTTGACGATTGTGTTGTGTGTTCTACTGCACGTCCCACTTTGTATACAGCCCCGGCTCCACTTTTCCCAGAAGATGTAGATGGTTATAATTGTATGATAAAGTTGTTTTGGCAAGAAAAGGACCTGACTGAGGAGACAAAGACAGTCCCTAGCAACTGTTCAATGTTTGAAGTATTGTTTCCAGAATTGGATTCAGAAATTCAGCCCCCTATGTTTTCCCACAGGAAAAGCAATTACACCTGTTTCCACTCACTCAATGGAGGGACGAGGCCGCGTCTCCAGTGGGGGTTCCTTCCAGCAGACTGGTGTGTCAACAACGTCACCCTGCCCAGTCCGGTCCCCATGACCCGGACCAGAGGTGATTTGTATTGGTTGTGTGGAGATTTAAAACTTAGACATAGACTAATAAAAAATTTTACAGGCAGTTGTGCAATGGTGCGATTAATGATGCCCATTTCCATAATTGGCCATAAGCCATCCCTAGACAGTCCCCACCCACAGCATAGATTTAAAAGGGCAATCCCATTCCTAGATACTGGGAAAGATAATCCAACTTACATGGACTCTATAGGTGTTCCACGTGGAGTCCCTCATGAATTCAAACTGGTAGATCAAATTGCAACAGGTTTCGAAAATATTCCAATAATTTCCGCTATTTTCCCTATCACGCCAAACAAAAATGTAGATAGAATTAATTTCATTTGGTATACTATGCTTAGGCTTGCCAATCACACCAGGGACGCAATAGAGGGATTGGCGGAGCAGCTGGGGGCCACCTCTCTGGTAGCATTTCAAAACAGAGTGGCTCTAGACATGCTCTTAGCAGAGAGAGGTGGGGTCTGCAGTTTATTTGGTACAGAATGTTGTGTATACATTCCAAATAACACACATCCAGATGGATCAGTTTCCAGGGCTCTGGCTGGTCTCAAAATGCTGTCAGAGCAAATGCATGACGTTTCTGGAGTCCCGGAGAACCCACTGGAGGCGTGGCTGGACAGCATCTTGGGGAAGTGGAAGCATGTAATTTTGTCTGTTATCACAAGCCTTGCGGCCATCTTTGCAATAATAATGGTTGTAGGATGCTGCTGTATACCTTGTATACGTTCTCTTTGTGTTAAAGCTATAGACACCGCTGTTAACCCTGGACTGAGAGGTCAAATGCTTGCATTGGTTGAGGATTCCCCCGTCCCGTCGCCTGAGGAAGGTTATTGAAATGTGTGGCCTTTTTTTAATAGCGGCCAAAAGAGGGGACTGTTGTATTAAATATAGGCTAAAAGGCGATGTGAATTAGATTGACCTGAAATTGAACTCTGTCTGTCTCCAAGCAAAAAGAAAGACCTTGTATTGCCCTACTCCCCTGTCCCATTTTGTCCAAAGTGCATGGGTGAGTTAATGATAGTTAATCTGGGGGGATTCTGCTAATCCTTTCAAGTTGTGAAAGAAGGAGATGGACTCCAGAATCTGGAGGAGAAGCCTTGAGATCCCTCTGCCTTATCTCAAAGGAACTAATAAATCGATAGAATTAGGGAGGGGTAGTGCGTGAATGATTTCTGTTTAGGTTTGGCGAGACGGAGGAAAAGGCCGGACCTTGGACCAGACATCTGCCTGATACGACACGCCCCCTTCTTCCTGCACATTTACTTATAATAACCTCATGCTTGTGTTAGTCTAGACCGGACCAGGGACAGGAGTGTGATTTGCGTGGAGCGCCCACCAAAATCATACTTTTATATTTTATATAGAGAATAAGGGATAGTTACTTTTGGTCCGAACAGCTGTTTTAGATTCTTTTTGTATTAGGGAAATAAACCTTTTTGAATTTAACTTTCTGAATCATGGTCATCTTTATAAGGGATTTTGAACACGTCATTTTTTAATATAATACTATAGCAATCACTAGGGTAACTCTTATCCTCTTTAAGTTGTTGATTCAACCACATCACAAAACATTTATCAGGTTGTATGAGGTCCAGACCCTAGTCCACTGAGCTAATCAAGTTAGTGGACCTCTCTCCAATTTAGTCAGGGAACCCTGCTGCTCTATACGTTTCTACTTGCACTGTCTCCACTTTGGAGACAGTGCAAGAAGAGAATCCTCTGAATTTTGGTGTGAGGTGTGAGAGACGTGGAGGTACCTGTCTGGTGTGAGAGACGGGGAAGTACCTGTCCGGTGTGAGAGATGGGGAAGTACCTGTCTGGTTTGAGAGACGGGGAAGTACCTGTCTGGTTTGAGAGACGGGGAAGTACCTGTCTGGTGTGAGAGACCGGGAAGTACCTGTCTGGTTTGAGAGACGGGGAAGTACCTGTCTGGTGTGAGAGACCGGGAAGTACCTGTCTGGTTTGAGAGACGCTAAGGTACCTGTCTGGTGTGAGGTGTGAGAGACGTGGAGGTACCTGTCTGGTGTGAGAGACGCTAAGGTACCTGTCTGGTGTGAGGTGAGAGAGACGTGGAGGTACCTGTCTGGTGTGAGAGACGCTAAGGTACCTGTCTGGTGTGAGGTGAGAGAGACGTGGAGGTACCTGTCTGGTGTGAGAGACGCTAAGGTACCTGTCTGGTGTGAGGTGAGAGAGACGTGGAGGTACCTGTCTGGTGTGAGAGACGCTAAGGTACCTGTCTGGTGTGAGGTGTGAGAGACGTGGAAGTACCTGTCTGGTGGCTGGTCCCACCTCGTTCAGGTGGAACAGGTGCGTGTGGTCAGACTGACTGTTGTATTTGGAGATGGACACAGACAGTGGAACCTTCAGGTCTTCAGAGTTCTCATCGATGTCTTCGGGACATCCCAAACACGACGCTTTCCCAAAGGGGAACAGGTCCTCTGCACACAGGGACACACTTTATTTAGGTCCTCTGCACACAGGGACACACTTTATTTAGGTCCTCTGCACACAGGGACACACTTTATTTAGGTCCTTGTTTTCATCTGTAGTCCCAAGGCCGAGGGAAAGCGAAAGCAGGTTTACAACAACATGGACCAAATGCTGCACTCTGGATCATCTTTAAGCCGTGGCTTTAGCTTCACTCAGTTGCTTTTGAGACTTGACTTTGTTTGAGTGTGGACACAGTATTGCCTCCAGTGTTGGGACTATCCCAGTTGGGACTATAGAGCCCGGACCATGAAATAATTGCCTAAAATTTTGGAGACTGGTGAGATTACTTAGCCCTGTAACATAAATATAAATAAAAAAATACAATTTCAATCTGCAAATATGACTACTGATCACTTTTGATACATCGGGTATTTGTTGGCAAGTATGAAGAGAACCATCCATATACAATATTAGAGTTTTCTATAAATTTCTAGAATTTGTTTTATATTTTTATAAAAATGTATTCCTCCATGTCACTCAAATGCCTGATGATAATCATCTTCACAACATCCTCAATGCTGAATTTTTTCCATTTGAAAAAATACATAACATTTTATTAGGTGGAATCTTTATTATTTTTGAAACAAAAAAACTTCCAACCAATATTTGATCAAATAATCCTCCCAAAAGCTTATTGCTGTATTGTAGTCATTATTTATGATAACTGAAATACATAAATCGTCATGAATGTAAATTATTTACCCCAAATAAACCTAGATTATAGTGTTAAAACTAATTTATAAAAACAATAGATAAGATAACAAACTGGGTGTTGCTTTATTTGATGCATAAGTCCAATGAAATCCAATGAAAAAATGTAAAACATAGTGGAAAATAAACTTCCCTAAATACCTGCTGTATAGAATTTGATACAATTTCAACATGGGTTTACTATAAATTAAGTTGTAAAATGTTTTAAAGTTTTACATTGCGTGAATCCTCTAAACACTGCCCTTGAAGTATCAGTAACAATTTTGAAGTTATTCTTACCTATGTAAAACAAAAACATATGGATAGTGTTGACGTCTCAGTTGCGTCACTTTAGAGCCCGAATTTCTGGCCTCTAGTGGATGGACATGTGAATTACAATTGTCTAATCGTATACAACAGGTTTTTTGAGAAAAAAAAATGTATACATGAATCAGAAATTCATGTATCAAATATGATTCCAATGGCGATATAGGGCTAATGTTCTGCTAACGTAATTCAAGAAGGTTTCAAATAAGGCCGCACATCCCAGAAGCCTGAACTGGGGTGCTAGATTCAAAAAAGGTTCAAAATCTGTAAAATAAAGAAAAAACAGCATGGCTATAAGTGTCTTTTATTCACAAACTGTGATAGTGACGTTTTGAGCTAAGGGAGCTACATAGCTGTGCAGATTTCTTTTTATTTGACTTCTAACATAATTCCACAGGGAGAGTAAACGTTCTGCAGGTGGAAAGTTATTCCATAGAAGTCCCAGAATAATTCTTATGGAACATTCTTTGTCAGTAAATGAGTTCAACGTGATGTCTTTCCATTGGGAGAAGTTCTAAAACACAGGGTAAAGCTTAGCTTGGCCTTAGTCATCCGTACACTCCGCTCATCATTAAATCAGGGACGTGCAGTCAGGGGAGGCAGGGGAGGCAGAGCCTCACCTGCCATTATTGGAAACTAATAATTATTTTAGTTTAAATATATAATTTATATCCACTGTCCTATGCTTTTAATGTATATTCGGCACGGTTCCCATCAGTTTTGATCATTTCTGAAGTCAAAATCGCCGAAATCCCGTTATTCCTATTCAAAGAGACGAGGTGAGGCAGCGCTCCTGCGTGCCTCACCCCAGACCGCTCCCTCACAGTGTGTGTGTGTGTGTCTGAGTGCACTCAGCTCGTGCAGTTGATATATCACCGTTTGTTTCAAATATCCTGCTTTAAAAACATTTTTTAAACTCCTCTTAGTGTTTAGTAGTGTATTGCACGTATGTGTGTACAATTTATATTTAGTTTAAGTCTTTTGATCGTAGATGAACACACAAGGAAAAAGCTTGGCGTGAGGCAGGCGGTATCTGTGCCTCACCGCTAGGGGTGATAGTGAGCATAAAGTTCATACCAGAGTTGCTAACAAACAATCAGCCCAAAATGCTATTTCTTTTGCTGGAAAATGGATGATTTGAATGAAGATTTTTTTTCTCAATTGGACTTTCAAACAAAGAAAGAATTAATATAGACTGGGAGACCACCACTGGACTTACGAGGTTAGTCCGGCTGCGGGGGAGGAGTTTGTTAATCTGTGTTTTATGTTGAACATTGACAGATACCGGCAAAGTAGTGCTTTTCCGAAAAACACTGATTCAAACACTGCTCAAGAGTTCTGCAACTTGTTTAAATTATTGTTTATGTTCCTCGCGTCTCTCTCTCCTCGCGTCTCTCTCTCCTCGCCTCTCTGTCTCTCTCTGCTCCTCGCGTCTCCGTCTCTCTGCTCCTCTCTGTCTCTCTCTGCTCCTCTCTCCTCGATCGCGTCTCTCTCTCCTCGCGTCTCTCTCTCCTCGCGTCTCCGTCTCTCTCTGCTCCTCTCTGTCTCTCTCTGCTCCTCTCTGTCTCTCTCTGCTCCTCGCGTCTCCGTCTCTCTGCTCCTCTCTGTCTCTCTCTGCTCCTCTCTCCTCGATCGCGTCTCTCTCTCCTCGCGTCTCTCGCACCTGCGCTTCTTAAAGATGTTGTTTGATGCGGAGCAGAGTCAGAAGCTAGATTTGTTGTGAGATTATTAAAAGAAGCTGGTTCTCTTATCTTTACAGTATATAAAGTTTGTGGATGTCATTGCATTGGTGATTAAATGCTATTTTATTTGAATAATGATTGTAAATCTGACTTTTAAAGTCAGTGCCTCCCCAATCACAAACCTCACCGCACGTCCCTGCATTAAATGTAATTTGTACTATGGTGTGGTACGACCTAGCCTGGTTGTACCACACCATAGTACAAATTTCATTTCATACTAAGGTCTGGATTTGCTCCATTGAGCTCTGTGAACAGGTGGGAGGGGTTAACGCCCGAGTGTGTTGTTAGCATTTAGTATTTAGCCTAGCCATCTCCTTTGCCGCTAACGGAGCCCGTGGGGAGTAGCGCCACAATCTTGACGAGCGATTACATTTGCGAAACATTCCTCTTGTTCCGGCTTCAATTTCTTGATAGAACCAGACCGGATTACTTTACTATCGCATTCTTCGCCATTGCCAAACTACAACCTGCCCGTTCGGCGCAAACTCTTGACGTCACCAGCACCGACCTACAACACCCGCCTTCCGCTCTCTCTGAGTAGCCGGTCGAAATACGACCGATTGTATTCGCTAACACAGGGACCAGACCCAGACGTTACATGCAGTGAAATGATGATTGAGCGGAATGTGCGGATGGCTAAGGCCAGGCTAGCTACGACCAGGGTCGGTAAAACTCACATCCTGTTCATTTAAATGGTGCAGTTGTGCAACCACAGACAGAAGGCGGCGATTATGTCTATTGTTTTAATGCATCAATGGTTAAAAGTGTTAACTCGCTTTAGGTTTTTCTTCTCGTCAGAACTCTCCCAGCTTTGTTCAGGTTCCAGGTGTTCACTCACCAATCTGACAGTTTACATGCTCAGTGTCTGTGTCCGTCTCGTTCATGTGGACCGTGGCATTACATCTGATGGGCTTCTGTAGAGAGATGAACGGACAAGGAGAGAAGGAGAGAGAAGAAGAGAGAAGGAGAGATAGAAGGAGGAGAGAGCAAGGAGAGAGAAGACAGAGAAGATAGGAGAGAGAAGAAGAGAAGAGAGAGGAAAGAAAAGAGAGAGATGATGAGATTGGAGAGGAGAGAGAGACCGGTGTTAATCGCTGCCTCTGTCTCTGGTTGGCGGTGGTGAACTCTGACCTTATCGATGGGAAGGTAGTCGCACTCGGTCCAGGGCGTGGGTTCCGATGCAGAACAGTTGCTCTTCCTGGTGGTGAACTTGAGCCAGTACGAGCCGTTTTCTGCCTGAATACCAACATTTAATGACAATAACTCACAGACAATCTTCTTAACTCAGGAGCTGGTTTTGAACCAGCACTGATGGACTAAATCCTGCTCCCTATGGACCAATGGCTCTCTCTGGTTTCCCACTGGTCTCTCTCTATAGTCTCTCTCTGGTGTCTCTTTGGTGTTTCTCTAGTCTCTCTCTCTGGCCTCTTGCTGGTCTCTCTCTGGCCTGTCTCTGGTCTCTCTCTGGTCTCTCTCTGACCTCTCTCTGACCTCTCTCTGGTCTCTCTCTGACCTCTCTCTGACCTCTCTCTGGTCTCTCTCTGGTCTCTCTCTGGCCTCTTTCTGGCTTCTCTTTGGTCTCTCTCTGGTCTCTCTCTGGCCTCTCTCTGGCTTCTCTTTGGTCTCTCTCTGGTCTCTCTCTGGCTTCTCTCTAGCCTCTATCTGGTCTCTCTCTCTGGCGTCTCTCTGATCTCTCTCTGGTGTCTCTCTGGTCTCTCTCTGGTCTCTCTCTCTCTGGCCTCTCTCTGGTCTCTCTCTGGTCTCTCTCTGGTCTCTCTCTGGTCTCTCTCTGGTCTCTCTCTGGTCTCTCTCTGGCCTCTATCTGGTCTCTCTCTGGTCTCTCTCTGGCCTCTCTCTGACCTCTCTCTGACCTCTCTCTGGTCTCTCTCTGACCTCTCTCTGACCTCTCTCTGGTCTCTCTCTGGTCTCTCTCTGGCCTCTTTCTGGCTTCTCTTTGGTCTCTCTCTGGTCTCTCTCTGGCTTCTCTCTAGCCTCTATCTGGTCTCTCTCTCTGGCGTCTCTCTGATCTCTCTCTGGTCTCTCTCTCTCTGGCCTCTCTCTGGTCTCTCTCTGGTCTCTCTCTGGTCTCTCTCTGGTCTCTCTCTGGTCTCTCTCTGGTCTCTCTCTGGCTTCTCTCTGGCTTCTCTCTAGCCTCTCTCTGGCCTCTCTCTGGCTTCTCTTTGGTCTCTCTCTGGTCTCTCTCTGGTCTCTCTCTAGCCTCCGTCTGGTCTCTCTCTGGCCTCGCTCTGGTCTCTCTCAGGGGGTGGAGGGGAGGTACCTTGCTGGCGAATGTGACCTGGAACAGAGCTAGTTTGTGTCCGGTGACAATTCCTTCGTTGAACGTGTTGAGGGCGTGAGTCACGGCTCTGTCCACCGTCGGGTCGTCACAGAAGATCAGGACCTCCCCGCTCTGGGACAGGAGGACACAGAGAAGACACACTGAGGACACACTGGGACAGGAGACATACTGTGTGTGCTTTATCTGACATTATTGTTATGGAATTATCTTTAAAAGTGAGTTGTACTTTTTGCTCCATTCATTTTAATGTAAAATTCAAATGTAGCCGTTTTTGGTTTCTGCTTTCTTTATGTGACTGTTAAAGCCATTTTTTTAAGATACCTAATCCTGAACTAGTCCTGAACTGGTTCTATCTTCACATTAGTCCTCTGTCCTTTCCCGCCCTGATGTGTCTCACATGTGTCTCTCAAACAACGGTGTGGTTTGTGTCATTAGTAAGTAAGTAATGTTTATTTATAGCCCATTTTACAGACCAAGGTCCCCCAAAGCGCTTTACAATATTCAGAGTTCAGATATTGTTCCAATCATTCCACACACGGTGATGACAGAACTGTTTACAATGAGAAGATGACAGAACTGTTTACACCTAAAAAACTCAAGAACATTTTCATTATCAAATAAAAAAAACATTTCCTGTTTACACATTGATTTTGTCCACGTTTAAATATTTGATGTGGTGTAAACGGCGTCGTGGGCGGTGACAGCATCAGGAAAATAAGCGTGTGCAAAGTCCACATCCCTCGCCTCATTGTAAACAGTTTTGTTTCTCGGATTCTGTCCACGTTTCGTAAACAGGCTGCGATTGAACTGATCCTGAAGAAGCAGAGTCTAGATTTGCAAAACTTTCTCACTGTTTCCCACTGGGTTCTCAGTGGTTCCTTGTTGATGATCCAAGACATTTATGGACATTGGTCAACAGCCCCTTTTGGACCAGTGGCTCTATGTGCTTTTTATTGTTGCATTTCCTGTGCTCGAACTGTTTGATTCTCAAAGATATATATAGCTGTGATTTAGGGCTACACAAAAATAAATTGAATTGAATTGATACTTTTTGACTGAACCTTTTCGAAGCTTGTGGTCATTCTGCCATTTCAGTAACTCTTTTAAAACTCTGGTAAACCAAATGAAGGACTGTGTGGGATTCTGGTTCAGTTCTTTTCTGTCCGTCCTGCACGGTCGGCCTGGGGGACTCCTGCTCCTCTGTTGCTCCTCTGCTCTGTGGAGTCCCCCAGGGTTCTACTCTTGGACCACTCCTCTTCTCCCACCTCCTCTCACTTGCTGCCATGTTTAGAAAGCACGACATCCCTTTTACACAAATAAAATTAATATGGTGAGTTGTAATCTCTGGCAGGCATGTTAATTTAAATGTTTTACTTTTTCCATTTGTTTCCATTTGTTGCTGTATAAAAGAACCGAAGGAATGTGACAAATAATGATTACCGACTACGTCACAGTGTGAAAGTGAGAACACACTGCTGTATATACTGTAACTGTGTGAAGATGAAGAAGTTGGCTGGATGATGACCTCACCAACACTGATGCAACTTGAAGCAGGACGAGAGCACACAGCCGCCGCGCTGCCATCGTTCTCTGCAACAAACACATCCATCAACCAAGATCTATCATGTGTTTAACCACAGACTGGACACAGAAGCTCAATGCTAACCCACTAGCTTAATGCTAACCTTTTACCTCAATGAAGCCCAGTAGGGAAGTGCTCATGGTGAAGTTTGTCTCCAACTCTCTCTGGCTCCTATTCACTTACATGTAAAAGTAAACTCCTCTAGCTCACCATTTTAGGCTTAAATCTGTGGTTTCTCTCTCTCTGTGGTGGTGTTTACATTGTGATATTGTCTTAATGTAAATCCAGATATGAGTCATATAAGCCCTGACCAATCAGAGGCCTTCAGTACTATTATAACTGTTAGCATTATCAGTATTATGAAAAATGTTATTATTATTATTCAAATAAAAACATCGACTTTTTTCTTGTTTTGATCAAAGACAAAGATGACATGTTTCATAATAAGATGAAGACAGTGTGATGTCATAGTGACGTCATAGTGGTACAATGACATCACACTATTGCAGGACTCAAACTGGATCTTGTAGACAGAAGGGGCGGAGCTACATGTTTAAAAATAAAAAAACAAACAAAGCACAAAAACAAACAAAACTGGGGTGAATAGATAAAAAATAAACAGGACAAAATAAAGATAAACAATAATAAACAACATAATATTGAAGCAGATACGTCCACGCGGAAGAGCAAGGGCGTCCAAACTTAACTCAAATGTGCCCCACTGTGTCATGTTCTATGGCCGTCTGCTGCCAACACACAATAACCATTGAGGCACAGTGTCATCCAGCCAACTCCAGCCCAACCAACAGTCAGGCTGTACTGATGTGAAGCACCTCTGGAATCATTTGTTTGCTTCCCATACATATCGATGTGTAGAATCAATATAGACATAACATCAAATGCATTTTAAAGATCAGAACAAAATCCAGTCACAGTTTATCCATCCGAGCTGTTGCGTCTGGAACAGTCTGTGAACTAAATGTTTGGACACCAGGTAGGGCCATAGAGCTGCCACAATATCTGAACATAGCATTTTGACGTTTCAACAATAAATGTAAAAAATCACAAACTCGTCCTCACTGTCTTTAACTTTCTTTGTTTGAAGTCATCTTAGATTTTCTTTTAAAACCCGAAACAGCAGGAAACACTCACACGCACCTCAAAATAGAATCATGCTCAAAGTGGGTTGGAGTAATTTAGTGCATGCAGTTATCTTAAAACCTTAACCTAAACTTAAATTAAAACAAATCAAAAGGCCACTCTTTCCATCTGTCCGGTGGAGAGAACTTAACAGTCCAAGCAAAAACTGCATTTTATCTCTAACTGTAGCATAATAAACAAGCAAGTGTAGACTCATTACAGTAGAGTGAGTTAAAACAAGTATGTGTTAGAATGTCTTTGTTGTATACTGGTTACAGATTTTATGTTGAAATGACAGAAATAAAGACACTTTTGAAAAATATTCTAATTCTCAAAAGCTCAGAATAAACGCTCCACGATGAGAATTATAAAGAAACAATCTCACTGCTGGGTAAATCCACATTTCTCACAATTACAAGATTTTTAAGACATAAAAATTGCGTTTTCTTACATTTCTCAGAGCAAAAGCTGCAGTTCCTGTGGATGAGAGTCTGATAAAGTGGCATTCACCCTAAACCTGCGCCGTGGCGGGGTTAAGGTTCCTCTCTGTTTGTTCGATCAATACGAGACCAAACGCAGCAGCAGAGGACTCAAAGTGGGTCAAATGTAGAGATTGTATCAGATTAGTGGGTTGTGTGTATGTGTTGTGTTCATTTAAAAGGATAAACTTGAAAAATGACCTGAAATGATCAGGATGGAAACTGACATTTTTATGTTAAAATCTGTTTTGTTTAGATAAACTTTGCCCTCAATGAACTTTGACCCCTGAACTGGAATGACATGTGTCTGCGTTTGAAACTAGCACAAAAATTATAGGTCTAAATCTTGGACTAAAACTAGGGCTAAAACTACAACTAAAACTTGGACAAAAACTTGGACAAAAACTTGGATAAAAACTTGAACTAAAACTAGGACTAAAACTAGGTCTAAAACTACGAATAACTAAGTCTTCACAAGGTTTTCACACACTGTTTTTATTTTGGCCCATTCCTCCTGCAGATCTAGTCTAGAGCAGTGATGTGTTGCGGCTGTTGCTGAATATTGATGTCATTATGTAAATCAGGGTCAGCACTAATGAACATATGGCTCATATACAAATATGTCAGATTTCAGCCACAGGCGTCGTCCATCTGTCAAAGACATTAATGCACATGAAAACATGTTCAGAAATTCACACAATTTAATCTACATAGAAAGGAGATAACAGCACATGACAAGCAGTGGCTCAAACCACAGACCTGAGACGGAGACCTCTTAGACCTTAGACTGAGACCAGAGACTGAGACCTCTGAGACCTGAGACCTGAGACCTGAGACCTGAGACCTGAGACCTGAGACCTGAGAACTGAGACCTGAGACCTGAGACCTGAGACCTGAGACCTGAGACCTGAGACTGAGACCTCGGACTGAGACCTTAGACTGAGAACTGAGACTGAGACCTGAGACTGAGACCTGACACCTGAGACTGAGATTTCTGAGACTTTAGACTGAGACCTGAAACTAAGACCTGAGACTGAGACCTCCAACACTTCTGGGACCTGAGATTGAGACCTCTGAGACCTGAGACTGAGACTTCTCAGACCTGAGACTGAGATCACAGAGACCTAGACCTGGGATGGAGACCTGAGTGTGAGACCTGATACCTGAGACTGAGACCTCTGAGACATAGACCTGCACCTGGTGAAGTGACAATGCTCTAGTCTAGTGACAATGGAGAGTGCCAATGCTTCAACTGTTTTACTATGATTATTATTAAATAACTTAATTGTTGTTTTTCAATCCATACTTTCTACAGATGAACCCATTACCTCTAAAAGGTTATGACCTTGTGGACACGCACACAGAGTCACAAACATTTATCATCTGAAGTTCAGACCAGACTGTGGTTCACTGTAAATGAGAGAAACACCGCCCTCTAGTGGGCGCTCAGCGCAGTCACAGCTCCCGCCTCCTGCGTCCTGCTTTCTGATTGGCTGAAGATTCTTCAGGTCCAACTCGTGCAGATTTAAAGCAGCAGTAAGCGATTTGGTCGTTTCCGGCAGTTTCTTCTGCCTGAGCGAGTTAGTAGCCCCGCCCCCGTCCCCTCGTCACACCACATGAACGCGCAGCAGCAGTTGGTGATGGCAGCAGCAGATTCATCTCCGTCAGGTCTACTCGTAAGTATATTAACAAACTCTGGGAGTGATATATTAGCATAGAATAGCTCAGTTGTAACCTAGCTATAACACTGGAAGCAGCTTGGTGTTAGCTAGGATAGCATCACTAAGAAAGAGATAAAAACAATCCAGTCTTTTATAGAATAACACTGCTTTTATAGTTGGTACACTGATAACTGTTGTGATAAACATAATGTTGCAGATTGCAGTGTGACGTGTCTCAACATTATGCACAGATGTTAATCTGTTACAGTGCATATGTATTAGATGAATGTAATGCATATACATAACAAAGCTTTACATGAAGGTTATTTAAAGTAATACATTACTGCTACGTATTTCCTCACAATTTGTATATTTGGAGTTCTTTATAGACAACACTGTAGTAATGTATTATGTGAAAGTAAAGCTGCATCTCACTGGAAGCTGCCTTCTCAATGTCACAAAATAAAGATACATTTATTGATGTAATCAACATCTGTATTATGTGCTTATTGTTCAGAGAATGAAGACAAAATCAAAGTGTATCAGAGCTGTACAGTGAGATGTGGGACTGAAAAACAATTCCAGTAAAGCTTGTCCGAAACGCAAAAATACTGTCATAACTAATTACGTTACACTATTACACTGTAAGGAAACTCACCACTTTGAAAGAAAAGCTACAAGTAACAGAATATATAAAGTCATTTGTCATAACGGTTCTTTCAGGAAGCACTGAACACCCTCTGTCCAGAGAAGCTGATGACCAGATCCTTTCCCTGATGCGTCTGTGAAAGGTGCCAACAGACATTGAAAACGTGCTTTCCTCAGCGGCCCCCATGGTGCACGTCCTCAGCGGCCCCCATGGTGCACGTCCTCAGCGGCCCCCATGGTGCACGTCCTCAGCGGCCCCCATGGTGCACGTCCTCAGTGGCCCCCATGGTGCACGTCCACTCTGCAGTTCTGAAATATGTTTGTAGTTGTACTATTTCAAAATAAAATAAAATACATTCACCTCTTTCAATGTGCTTTGTTTTATAGTAGGAAAACAAATACAGTCTGTAACGAGTCTAAGAAACTTTATTATGTAAAAGAAGATTTGAAGTTATAGCCGGAAAAATATACACAATGTCCCTACTAAGACAAATAATTACAAGTGATGGTAAGGCAACGTTTGTGTTATCACTTTTTGCTCAAATGAATAACACTGTTATTATCCAGGTCCTTATCCATCGCTGCTGCAGCGAACACTATCAGAGATATCTAACAAAATGTTAATCTTTATGTTGTAGCTTGTTTGAACACATTTCCTCAAAATAATTCATAAGCAGCCACGCACACACAGCCACAAGCACACACAGTCACAAGCACATACAGTCACACGCACACACAGTCACAAGCACACACAGTCACACGCACACACAGTCACAAGCACACACAGTCACAAGCACACACAGTCACAAGCACACACAGTCACACACAGCCACAAGCACACACAGTCACAAGCACATACAGTCACACGCACACACAGTCACACACAGCCACAAGCACACACAGTCACAAGCACACACAGCCACAAGCACACAGTCACAAGCACACACAGTCACACACAGTCACAAGCACACACAGTCACAAGCACACACAGCCACAAGCACACACAGTCACAAGCACACACAGCCACAAGCACACACAGTCACAAGCACACACAGTCACACGCACACACAGTCACACGCACACAGTCACACGCACACAGTCACACGCACAGACAGCCACACAGTCACACACACAGTCACACGCACACACAGCCACACGCACACACAGTCACACACAGTCACAAGCACACACAGTCACACACAGTCACACACAGTCACACACAGTCACACACAGTCACACACAGTCACACACAGTCACACACAGTCACACACAGTCACACACAGCCACACGCACAGACAGCCACGCTTCAGGGGCCCAGGTTGAAGGAACTGGAGTCTTCCTCTGGCAGAGATTTTCCTTTGAAACATAATAGAAGAGACATCAGTTTTATCTACTCAAATATGACTTTGATATATTCATCATCAACAACATCAGTATTTATTGATCACCAGGAGTGGCCCCTGATCCACAGGATCCTTGAACATGTTTATTTGGACTGTGCATTGTGAGAGAAAGACACTTACATCGGCTGTTTTGGGAGTCGAGTGATTATCTCACTCCTCTTGATTGTTGAAGAAACTCAGCGACAGTTTTGTCAACACTGACTCCTGGAACATGATGGATATTCATTTTGGACCTCAGGGCAGCAACACAACTGTAGGGATGAACGACACACACATCACAACATCATTATCATCATAATCACTGCGTCCCATATATGCATTCACAACAACCTACATGACAAATGTGGGGTGTAAAGTCTTCCTCAGGAGATGACAATGGCCGATCTTCTAATTATGGAAGCAAAGTCTTGTCTTCGCAGTCAATACTAGAGAAAGAAGAGGTCAGCAGAAAAGTATCTAGTCGTTATGGCATTGTTTTTTTTTTAATAGTTATTTAACTTGCATTATGGAGGCTTTTGAACTCTTGTACATTGAAGACCTCATTCCAATTGATTTAGGCCATACTGGAAAAGATACAGAGAAAAGAATGCAATGAAGACATGTAAATTATTACAATGTCTATATTATATCATGCTCATAATTTATTTGGTAGTAGTCAGCAAGACTTCTTACTTATTCTCAATACATAATAATAAAAATGTATGTAGTGGTCACGGAAGTTAGATTTGAGGTAAAGAGATATTGTTTTTATAACAATAAAACTAAATATACAGAGTGCAAGTTGCAAAACTTAGTCATTGAAGAATGAAATGCAGACCTACATATATATATAGTGCAAGCAACTATGTTTATTGGCAAAAACAAACGATTCATACAGATCAGAAGTGATCGTAGCAGCCACATCATATTCACAACTACAGACAGCTAATGCTAACAGCTAACGCTAATGCTAACAGTGAACGCTAATGCTAACGCTAACGCTAATGCTAACAGTGAACGCTAATGCTAACAGCGAACGCTAATGCTAACACCACTTCACGGGGGAACTCTGGTGATATGGTCATTTAATGTTGTACATGTGGGGAACTAATAATTGACCGGAGTTTATGGATGGCTGAGGCTGGGCTAAGGCTTCGATGTTGTGTTGTCTGTTGTTGTTTCTCAAAGCTAAGCCAAGGTAATGCGCAGTTATTGCCACAAAATGCGGCCGTATTTCTACAACAGCTGGGGATTTTTAACTAGCTAACTTGGTGAAAGCCCGCATTACAGTCATTACAGTGTGGGAGAAGACTGGAAGGACTGAGAGATCCGTGTTTAGGTACAAACACTCTATATAAGTGATGGCTATTGGAATATATCAATATTTAAGACGTATATTAACACCCAAAAATCGCTTACTGCTGCTTTAACTTGAGTATTTATTACAAAGAACTGAAAAAAGTTAAATTTACAGACAATAAAATACCACTTTTCGGATGTTGGCTCAGACTCTCACTGCAATAATATATGGCATATGTGAGTTTTACTAGTCTGTAGGTAAAAACCATTGACTAAAAACATGAGATCTACAAGTGATTTTTTTTGTTTTCAGAATCAGCTGCACATTTAATATTATTATTAAAAACCTGAGATGGAGACCGCAGATACCTATTATTTTGTATGTATTTTGATTTGTTTCTTTTTATTGTATGGTATTTATTTTGTTATTACAATAATAATAATATAATAATAACTATAATTACCACCAGTTTAATCATGTTATTGTTAATTATTATTAATAATAATATAATATATATTCATTGTATTTATGTGTGATGTAGCCCGTAAGCCCCGCCCCTCCGGGGATGCCTGGATTGTAGCCGTAAATCCCGCCCCGGTTGAGATGCCTGGATTGTAGCGTCTCCTTTAGCATCACAAACAGCGCCATGGCAGCTGTCCTCCTCAGTTTCCCCTCTTTACAAGGCTGCAGAATATTCACACAGTGAGTGCAACAACATACTCCAAAACTGCAGCTTCATTTGAGGATAATAATATTGTTTTAATGCCTTATTAACAGTTTAACACACGCCTCTTGTTAGTTAGCATTCTGCTAAGCTACCACCGTGAATGACAACCCCAGCTCTAAAGACTCATGTTGTATGTTTACAAAGTATTTTAATGACATTTGAAGAAGAGAGTGCGCGTGTTTACGTCTGTTCAATGTTTTAAAAATATCTGATAAAAGAAAAAGTGTGACAAACTAAAGCAGGACAAGGTTAAGTGAAGGTAGCTTATGTCTCCAATCATAACAATGTAGGAGCTTGATCACCACAAAATTCAATTGGTTAGGGTGGCATTTGGGCCTGAAGGTTGTGGGTTCGAGCCCACCATAAGACTTACTTCTCTACTCCCACTGATGACTGGTGCCGTTGTGTCCTTGGGCAAGACACTTAACCGGACTTTGCCCGAAGCCCCCACTCAGCTCCTGTGGAGCAGGAGGATCAGTGAGGGGGGCTGGTGCAGCTATGACAGCCACCCCGCAAACCAGAAATGGATTAATGTCGTGCGTGCGTAAACAGATTTGTGTATGCGTAAAAAGATTTGTGTGTGCATAACGTAGTTTAAAAAAAAAAAAACACACACAGATCTAGTTATGCACATACAAATCTAGATTTTGTACGCAGATTTTTTTGTACGCACACACAAATCTTTTTACACACACAAATCTTTTTACACACACACACACATCTGTTTACGCATGCACAAATATTATTGAAACAATAATAGTTCCATAGTTTTATACGAGTTATTCCTGTTATAGCTCGAGCAGTTAATATAATGTTTTTGTAATATTATAGTAAAGTTATTGAAATGGTATTGTGCTGGTTAATGAGCTGTCTGTCCTGTAGTCCTAACCTAAGTCCTCCCCCCTCTGTCTTCTGTCAGAGGGCTCTCAGATCGCTCTCAGGTCTGTCACTCTGGTCTATGTCAGTCCTCAGTCCTCTCTTTTCTCTCCTCTGCCCTCATTTACCTCCTCTCTCTCCTCTCCTCTCTTTTCAGGAAACTGTCATGGACCAAAAGAAGCGTGAGGCTGGCGTCAGGTGAAACTCTCTTTGGATCAGTCTGTGTAAACACGATTCATTCAGAGAGTGAGGCAACTGAAAGTTCTGAACATCATGTGTGTGTGTCCTTGTCTCTGCGTGTGTCTCTCTCTTTGTGTCTGTCTGTGTGTGTGTGTGTCTGTCTAGGTGTGGCGAGGATAGAGAAGGTGCTGATTGCCAACAGAGGAGAGATCGCCTGTCGCGTCATGAGGACGGCGCGGCGGATGGGCGTGCGCTCTGTGGCCGTGTACAGCGACGCCGACAAAGACTCCATGCATGTTGCCATGGTGAGGAGCACCGGGTTCACTGCACCGGGAGCAGGTCTGGTTCTCATCCTGGTTTGTGTTTTCAGGCAGATGAAGCGTTCCACATCGGACCTGCAGCGTCTCAGCAGAGCTATCTGTCCATGGAGAAGGTTCTAGATGTGGCAAAGAAGTCCGGGTCACATGTGAGTGCCCCAAATACTCCACTGGCCCTGTTTAATCAGTACTAGGTCTTTCTTTAGTCTCATGGTCCTGGTTCTTTCCAGACTGGTTTGTTGTGGGTCGGTTTCTAGGATACGGTACTAGATACTAAAGAATAATGGAAACACGTCCAGGTAGAGCCGAACAGAACCTGGCTGTGGTCACAGATCTTTATTGGTTTTGTTGTGGGTATTAAGCCTCCTGTTTAAAGTGTATTTGTCTCCTTGTCACCTTGTCTCCTCCTCTCCCCCTGTATTTATCTCCTTGTCTCCCCCTGTCCTCAATGCCCCCTCTTCTCCTTTCTTTGTCTCCCCTTCTGCCCCTGTCCTTGCAGGCGGTCCATCCTGGTTATGGATTCCTGTCTGAGAACACAGAGTTTGCAGAAGCGTGCAAAGAGGCCGGAATAATCTTCATCGGACCTCCATCTTCTGCAATCAGAGACATGGGCATCAAGAGGTTTGAGAGAGACCAGAGAGAGTGAAACCAGAGAGATTGAGACCAGAGAGAGAGAGAGACCAGAGAGAGAGAGAGACCAGAGAGAGAGAGAGACCAGAGAGAGAGAGACCAGAGAGAGAGACCAGAGAGAGAGACCAGAGAGAGAGACCAGAGAGAGAGACCAGAGAGAGAGACCAGAGAGAGAGACCAGAGAGAGAGACCAGAGAGAGAGACCAGAGAGAGAGTGAGACCAGAGAGAGAGAGAGACCAGAGAGAGAGAGACCAGAGAGAGCGACCAGAGAGAGAGAGACCAGAGAGAGAGAGACCAGAGAGAGTGAGACCAGAGAGAGAGTGAGACCAGAGAGAGAGTGAGACCAGAGAGAGAGTGAGACCAGAGAGAGAGTGAGACCAGAGAGTGAGACCAGAGTGAGACAGAGAGACCAGAGAGTGAGACCAGAGAGTGAGACCAGAGAGTGAGACCAGAGAGTGAGACCAGAGAGTGAGACCAGAGAGTGAGACCAGAGAGTGAGACCAGAGAGTGAGACCAGAGAGTGAGACCAGAGAGTGAGACCAGAGAGTGAGACCAGAGAGTGAGACCAGAGCGAGTGAGACCAGAGCGAGTGAGACCAGAGCGAGTGAGACCAGAGCGAGTGAGACCAGAGCGAGTGAGACCAGAGCGAGTGAGACCAGAGCGAGTGAGACCAGAGCGAGTGAGACCAGAGCGAGTGAGACCAGAGCGAGTGAGACCAGAGCGAGTGAGACCAGAGCGAGTGAGATACCAAAAGAAAAAAAGAGAGAGAGAGAGCTCAGCTCTAAATTTGTACTTTCTTAATGTGTGGAGTGAGAGGACAAGTGCCCAAAAAATAATAACAATTGTAAACCGCTTTGTGACCCTTGTCTCTGAAAGGCGGTATATAAATAAACATTACTTACTTACTTACTTACTTACTTACTAATGAAACAGGTTCTTGATGTGTTGTTATCTCACACTTTTTACAGCACTTCTAAACACATCATGTCAGCCGCTGGAGTGCCAATCATCGGCGGTTACCATGGAGAGGACCAATCGGACGACAGGCTACAGGCGGAGGCTGCACAGATTGGGTTTCCTGTGATGATCAAAGCTGTGAGAGGAGGAGGAGGAAAGGTGAGAGCGAGATTATGTGTTAGCGTCACTTTATCATGAAAATCCTATGGTCTAAGGTAAAAATCATGTTTTGACACACACAGTCCTCACTAGAGCTGTCAGAATTATCTAAGCTCGGACAAGGGTCGATGTAAGTAAGTAATCTTTATTTATATACCGCCCTTTCACTGCACATTGGAGTCTCAAAGCGGTTTACAATTGTGATTTTTTTTTTTTTTTGGGAGCGGGGGTGCCAGTACAGGAGGCACATGCCAGACCTATTGTACATATTTTTAGTGGTAGGGGAAACCGGAGCACCCGGAGGAAACCTACGCAGACACAGGGAGAACATGCAAACTCCACTCAGAAAGGCCCTGGTCCAACCGGGATTCGAACCCAGGACCTTCTTGCTGAGAGGCGAGAGTGCTATCCACTCAGCCACCGTGCCGCCCATCACAGCATCACGATGCTGTGATGTCTCACGTGTGGCCATCCTCGTGATCACCGCCCTTCAGCATCTGCACAGTCTGTAGCTGATCAGAGCAAACACAAGATTTAACAAAGTTAATTTGAATCAACAAATGCACAATAAAGATACTTTATTGAGTCCAGTAAAAGAAATCCAACAGCAGAAACGCATCCATTCCTACATATATATATATATAAAATTCTAAAAGTAGCTAACAATAGTAATAAACAGCAGCAGCAGAGGTGGTGCAGACGCTGGTGATGAGCTGCTTCCTCAGGTTGATGTTTGCAGAGTTTCTGCTCTGGTTCAAAATAAAATTCTGAAAGCTTTATTAGCATTTTAAATATTATCTTTGCTTGATCTGCTTTGTTGGGACCATCCTCTCTGCTCTGGTCTGGATCAGTATAAAATCATGAACACTGTTCTGCAGTTACATTCACAGATAGAAAAAAAGCAAGACAAAAAAAATGACAATTGTAAAACACAAAACGACAACTGTTTCAGAGCGGCTCAGGACAGTAGAGAGTCTGAAGCTGTAGCTGTGGAACCTGCTCAAATACAGCTTTAAATTCCGGATAGCACTCTCGCTTCTCAGCAAGAAGGTTCTAGGTTCGAATCCCGGTCGGAACAGGGCCTTTCTGATCTCCCCGTGTCTGCGTAGGTTTCCTCCGGGTACTCTGGTTTCCCCTACTACTAAAAACATGTACAGTAGTTCAGGGTGAATGAGTGTGTGTTTGTGAGTGTGAATGTGGGATAACGGATGGATATTAGCCCAAGGCTAAGGATGTGTTCATTAACATGTACAGTCCCAACCAAATTAACAATGAATAAATAAGTAAATAAATAATCAGAGGCAAAGATAAAATAAGATGAAATAAACTTTATTGATCTCAATGTGGAGAAATTTAGATTTCACATTTGGCATTGATGCGAGTGAGATGAGTCCCTCACCATACCATATCATATGATACCATGCCCTATGCTACCATACCATGCCCTATAATCCTGTGGTTCTGTGCTGTGTTCAGGGAATGCGAATCGCTCGGACAGAGAAGGATTTCCTGGAGCAGCTGGAATCTGCGCGACGTGAAGCCAGGAAGTCTTTCAACGATGACGTGATGCTGGTGGAGAAGTTTGTGGAAGATCCCAGGTACTTTAGAGAGACCAGAGAGAGAGAGACCAGAGAGAGAGACCAGAGAGAGAGACCAGAGAGAGAGACCAGAGAGAGAGACCAGAGAGAGAGACCAGAGAGAGAGACCAGAGAGAGAGACCAGAGAGAGAGACCAGAGAGAGACCAGAGAGAGACCAGAGAGAGACCAGAGAGAGAGACCAGAGAGAGACCAGAGAGAGACCAGAGAGAGACCAGAGAGAGACCAGAGAGAGACCAGAGAGAGACCAGAGAGAGACCAGAGGGAGACATTAGACATCTCTCATCTTTTGTGGGGGACTTGCAAATTGGACTAGAGACTTCTTTCCCCACTGTACACTAGTGGAGGCAACAAAGATTCAATTAATTTTTGTACAGCCCTAAAAACAGTAGTTGTCTTGAAGGACTTTACAAAGCTGTCAATTCACTAACACAGACCAGAGAATCTATTTCATCCCTGCATAGCACTGAATGTTCCCTTCGCTCATGGATTCATAGAACTGTGGTTTCATACGTAACCTTCGTTCCTCCTGATGCTTGATCTCACCGCTGCCCTCTTGTGTCAGGCACGTGGAGGTGCAGGTGTTTGGTGACATGCACGGTAACGCAGTATATCTGTTTGAGCGAGACTGCAGTGTCCAGAGGAGACACCAGAAGATCATCGAGGAGGCCCCTGGGGTGAGTGACAGGTGTGAGTGACAGGTGTGAGTAACAGGTGTGAGTGACAGGTGTGAGTGACGGGTGTGAGTGACGGGTGTGAGTGACGGGTGTGAGTGACAGGTAGGAGAGACGTGTGCGAGAGACGTGTGCGAGAGACAGGTCACAGGGAGCGTGGGTTTGACTGCTGTGTGTTTCAGCCGGGCATCAGCGCAGAGGTCCGGAGGAGACTGGGAGAGGCGGCAGTGAGAGCGGCGAAGGCGGTGGACTACGTGGGGGCAGGTGAGACCAACAGTTTATTAGTATAGCACAGTTCATACACAAAACATACAAACTCAAAATATTTACCTTAGTCTCAAAAGCGACAACAAAACTAAAGAAACATCAAAAGTACTGTCTCAGTCCTGTAATGGTGTGATGTCATTGTACCACTTTTTTCATATATTTCTAAAACATGAATTTCTCAGGTGAGCTGATGTTTCATGTCTATTTGCAGCTCCCTCTGGTGGCAGAAGAGGGAGTTGCAGGATGATAGAATTTTTTTTTAACCCTTCCTATGTTTTGTATTTAAGATATTATGTCACATTTTAAAACATGAAATGCCAATATCTCATGATCATGTTTAATGGCCAAGATTTTTCCTTTCCTTATCATTCTTGGTCCTACATATCGGCTACAGATGTGCGACAGCTGTTTGTGTCGTTTGTGTGTCTGTAGGGACTGTGGAGTTCATCATGGACGCACAACACAACTTCTACTTTATGGAGATGAACACTCGGCTACAGGTGGAACATCCAGTGTCTGAGATGATCACGGGGACTGACCTGGTGGAGTGGCAGCTCAGGGTGAGAGATCAGAGAGAGACCAGAGAAAGAGAGACCAGAGAGAGAGAGACCAGAGAGAGAGAGAGACCAGAGAGAGAGAGAGACCAGAGAGAGAGAGAGCAGAGAGAGAGACCAGAGAGAACACATCACTCCTGTCATAAACCAGGGACCAGTGTAGAACAGTGCTTTCTCATTGAGGCTTGTTGAAGGCCACTGCTGACGCCTCCGCCTGTGTCCTGTAGGTGGCAGCAGGCGAGCGGCTCCCTCTGCTGCAGGAAGACATTGTTCTGAGCGGACACTCTTTCGAAGCCCGAATTTACGCCGAAGACCCAAACAACGACTTCCTGCCGGGAGCCGGACCCCTGCTACACCTGTCTACCCCGGCTGCTGACGAGACCATAAGGATTGAGACCGGAGTCCGAGAAGGTCAGGCACACAAGGGTTTACCAGTGTGTTTGTAGACACCAGAGAGGGAGGCCAGAGAGAGAGGCCAGAGAGAGAGGCCAGAGAGAGAGGCCAGAGAGGGAGGCCAGAGAGAGAGGCCAGAGAGAGAGGCCAGAGAGAGAGGCCAGAGAGGGAGGCCAGAGAGGGAGGCCAGAGAGGGAGGCCAGAGAGGGAGGCCAGAGAGGGAGGCCAGAGAGAGAGGCCAGAGAGAGAGGCCAGAGAGAGAGGCCAGAGAGAGAGGCCAGAGAGGGAGGCCAGAGAGAGAGGCCAGAGAGAGAGGCCAGAGAGGGAGGCCAGAGAGAGAGGCCAGAGAGAGAGGCCAGAGAGAGAGGCCAGCGAGAGAGACCAGAGAGAGAGGCCAGAGAGAGAGACCAGAGAGGGAGGCCAGAGAGAGAGGCCAGAGAGAGAGACCAGAGAGAGAGACCAGAGAGAGAGACCAGAGAGAGAGACCAGAGAGAGAGGCCAGAGAGAGAGGCCAGAGAGAGAGGCCAGAGAGAGAGGCCAGAGAGAGAGGCCAGAGAGAGAGGCCAGAGAGAGAGGCCAGCGAGAGAGACCAGAGAGGGAGGCCAGAGAGAGAGGCCAGAGAGAGAGGCCAGAGAGAGAGGCCAGAGAGAGAGGCCAGAGAGAGACCAGAGAGAGAGGCCAGAGAGAGAGGCCAGCGAGAGAGACCAGAGAGAGAGGCCAGAGAGAGAGACCAGAGAGGGAGGCCAGAGAGAGAGGCCAGAGAGAGAGACCAGAGAGAGAGACCAGAGAGAGAGACCAGAGAGAGAGACCAGAGAGAGAGGCCAGAGAGAGAGGCCAGCGAGAGAGACCAGAGAGGGAGACCAGAGAGAGAGACCAGAGAGAGAGGCCAGAGAGAGAGGCCAGAGAGAGAGGCCAGAGAGAGAGGCCAGAGAGAGAGGCCAGAGAGGGAGGCCAGAGAGAGAGGCCAGAGAGAGAGGCCAGAGAGAGAGACCAGAGAGAGAGACCAGAGAGAGAGGCCAGAGAGGGAGGCCAGAGAGGGAGGCCAGAGAGAGAGGCCAGAGAGAGAGGCCAGAGAGAGAGGCCAGAGAGAGAGGCCAGAGAGGGAGGCCAGAGAGGGAGGCCAGAGAGGGAGGCCAGAGAGGGAGGCCAGAGAGGGAGGCCAGAGAGGGAGGCCAGAGAGGGAGGCCAGAGAGGGAGGCCAGAGAGGGAGGCCAGAGAGGGAGGCCACAGAGGGAGGCCACAGAGGGAGGCCACAGAGGGAGGCCACAGAGGGAGGCCAGAGAGAGAGGCCAGAGAGAGAGGCCAGAGAGGGAGGCCAGAGAGGGAGGCCAGAGAGAGAGGCCAGAGAGGGAGGCCAGAGAGAGAGGCCAGAGAGAGAGGCCAGAGAGAGAGGCCAGCGAGAGAGACCAGAGAGAGAGGCCAGAGAGAGAGACCAGAGAGGGAGGCCAGAGAGAGAGGCCAGAGAGAGAGACCAGAGAGAGAGACCAGAGAGAGAGACCAGAGAGAGAGACCAGAGAGAGCCAGAGAGGCCAGAGAGAGAGGCCAGAGAGAGAGGCCAGAGAGAGAGGCCAGAGAGAGAGGCCAGAGAGAGAGGCCAGAGAGAGAGGCCAGCGAGAGAGACCAGAGAGGGAGGCCAGAGAGAGAGGCCAGAGAGAGAGGCCAGAGAGAGAGGCCAGAGAGAGAGGCCAGAGAGAGACCAGAGAGAGAGGCCAGAGAGAGAGGCCAGCGAGAGAGACCAGAGAGAGAGGCCAGAGAGAGAGACCAGAGAGGGAGGCCAGAGAGAGAGGCCAGAGAGAGAGAGACCAGAGAGAGAGACCAGAGAGAGAGACCAGAGAGAGAGACCAGAGAGAGAGACCAGAGAGAGAGGCCAGAGAGAGAGGCCAGCGAGAGAGACCAGAGAGGGAGACCAGAGAGAGAGACCAGAGAGAGAGGCCAGAGAGAGAGGCCAGAGAGAGAGGCCAGAGAGAGAGGCCAGAGAGAGAGGCCAGAGAGGGAGGCCAGAGAGAGAGGCCAGAGAGAGAGGCCAGAGAGAGAGACCAGAGAGAGAGACCAGAGAGAGAGGCCAGAGAGGGAGGCCAGAGAGGGAGGCCAGAGAGAGAGGCCAGAGAGAGAGGCCAGAGAGGGAGGCCAGAGAGAGAGGCCAGAGAGAGAGGCCAGAGAGAGAGGCCAGAGAGGGAGGCCAGAGAGAGAGGCCAGAGAGGGAGGCCACAGAGGGAGGCCAGAGAGGGAGGCCAGAGAGGGAGGCCAGAGAGGGAGGCCAGAGAGGGAGGCCAGAGAGGGAGGCCAGAGAGGGAGGCCAGAGAGGGAGGCCACAGAGGGAGGCCACAGAGGGAGGCCACAGAGGGAGGCCACAGAGGGAGGCCACAGAGGGAGGCCACAGAGGGAGGCCACAGAGGGAGGCCACAGAGGGAGGCCAGAGAGGGAGGCCAGAGAGGGAGGCCAGAGAGGGAGGCCAGAGAATCAGACCGAAATTGGAAATGCAATAATAACAAACATTGTTTAACGCATAGTTCAGTGAAGAATCTTTAATAATATAATCTCATGTTTCTTGTTTCAGGAGACGAAGTGTCCGCTCACTATGACCCGATGATCGCTAAACTGGTGGTTTGGGGAGAAGACCGTGCGGCTGCTCTGAAGAAACTCAGATACGGTTTACGACAATACAATGTGAGACTTTATTCATATGTTTGTATTCATTATTGGTGAGACACGGATACTACATACGATCAACAAATGTAAACTTTTTGTATGAGCTAAAATATTGTCCTCACTATCAGTTTTAGCAGAACTAAATCATCCAAATCAGGGGGTGTCAACTGGTACCAGAAAGGGCTTTTTGTTTGGCTGCAGGTTTTCATTTCAAACAAGAAGCACACCAGACTCCTCCACCATTTCCTCAAGTCTTCAGGTTCAGACCAGTGGGGGCGGGTCCCGGCTCAAAAATCATCTTCTTACCTCTCAAAAATGGCTTTACGGGATGGTCCAAAAGCCGACTCTATGACACACTGTGTTCCACACATGTGTCAACGCGGGGGAGGGGAGTGAATTTTTTTGGACCGGTTTAGTTTAGTCTCAGTGGAATTTTGAAGGCACTCGTTAAATTAACGGGGCTCGTGCCGGCTGACGCATGCGCAAAGGCGTTTTTTCACGTTTTCCAGCCCCCACGGCCATTTTGAAACTGCCCATAGAAGGCAAGAGTGGTGGCACATTAGTTTCAACGGCGGAGATAAGCATGACTACGTACGTTAATATAAATTACAGTCTATGGTTCAGACTGGACTCACTTGAGGAAACGGCTGCTCCTGCTGTTGGAATGAAAACTTTCTGTTCTTTGAGTAGTAGTTTGAATCCAATGCTAATGCTAACTCCATAGCTTTCGAGATCTTCAACGATGAGAGACTCTCTCAAACTCGTTGTACCTCATTTTAAAGTTAGTTAGTTACTACGGTGACCACTGTTCCAGACAGATGCCCCTAGTGGCTGTGAAGAATGGGTCAAATGCAGGGACACAACATTTATTTATTATCAAAATGTTCATCAGACAGACCTGAATGTTCCTGTAAAGTTGTTATCTGACTTCTTTGTTGCCAGATGGTTATGACCTCTGTCTTCTGTGTTGCCAGATTGTGGGCCTGAACACAAACATCAATTTCCTGTTGAGTTTGTCGTCGCACCCGGAGTTTGAGGCGGGAAACGTGACGACAAGTTTCATCCCACAGCACCACACTCAGCTGTTCCCTCCACACACACCTCCCTCTGCTGTGTGTGTGTGTCAGTCTGCTCTGGCTCTGCTGCTGAAGGAGAGGACAGACACACACAGATACACACAATCCTCCAATGGTAACTACACACACACACAACTCTGAGAGGCTGGACACACAACTCTCTGAAGCACATCGCACAACTCCAGAGAGTACAATAGTTTTTCTCTTGATTCACATTCTTTTGTTGCAGTTGAACTGGTAATTCAATGGTCTCTTGATAAACAAGACATTTCTGTACATTTCATTGGAAAATCTTTTATTGTAGCCAACAAAATATACTACAGAAAAAATGAGTTTTGCTACTTGGGACGAATAAATGCTTCTTTTGTTTTGAATCTGAGAATCCGAGCTCTGAGGTCTCACAGCTCTGAGGTCTCGCAGCTCTGAGGTCTCGCAGCTCTGAGGTCTCGCAGCTCTGACCCTGAGACCCTGTGCTCTGAGATTGAGGGCTTTAAGTTTAAATGTTTAATGTTTAAAATCTTAAATGCAGTGTTTTTGTTTCAGACCCGTTTTCTCCGTTTGGTTCGAGCAGCGGCTTCAGACTGAACCTGGAGCTGAGCAGGAGCCTGAGTCTGCAGCTCGGAGACAAGAGTAAGCTCTGGCCCCGCCCCCTTCTGTGTCAGTATGAGGTCATCATACTACTGTGACCTCACTGTGACATCACAGTGATGTCATAGACCGAGACTAAAGCAGAGATGGTGGGAGTGAATGTTTTCTGTAACAACTTTTAAAACACTTCTTGTTGAAGTTTGTGGCGCTCATGTTGGATTGCTCTCAGAGTGTCTGGCACCCAGATCACGATGGTTGCCAGACAGAGCCTCAGTGGCAGCTCTTTGGCTCTGGATCATCAATCACTGCTCTCTGCTTTAATGACAGTCTGTGTGTTAAGCAGTTTTAGAGAAATACCAAATCAATCTGTTACTGATGCCTCTCTGACCCTGTGTCTCTGCAGAGGTGGACGTTCAGGTCACCTACAATAAAGACAACAGCTACACGATGCAGGTGAGGGAAACGTCCTGTGTATAAAACCTTTGTCCTCGCCAAGGCAAGTTTATTTGTTTAGAACAGAACACAAGGAAACTCAAAGTTCTGAAGAAGTACTGAATAAACAAGAAACATTAAAATCATAATCACAGTACATTAAAAAGAGTGAAGATAAAATCCTTGAGTTGTTGCTGTGAAAAATAACTTTTTAACCTAAATTTCTCACATTTTCAGGAAGACTGTTGCAGATTTTAGCTGCATAAATCTAAAACGCTGCCTCCCCATGTTTAATCCTGACTCTGGGACCGCCAGGAGGCCAGTCCCTGTGGTCCTCAGAGTCCGAACAGCCATAGATAGAAGATGGAACTGTAGTTTAAATAAATGTATCATAGTAGTGAAATTGTTATAATCACAATTACAATGGCTGTGAATGTCTTGCATTGGGGGCAGTTCCCACGACACTCTCCTAATTCCACAGATTAAAGTTCATGTTTCTGTGTGTTTTGCTGCTCTCAGATTGGTGGAGAGATGTACCATGTGACCGGGGAGGTGGAGACTGAGGGCGGAGCCTCATTTCTGCGCTGCTCTGTGAACGGAGTCAAGTCCCGCCCCAAAGTCGTCATTCTCAACAACACTGTGCATCTGTTCTCCATGGTAACCAGAGATGTCACATGACTGTAAACAATGACTTGTGATGTCACATGACTGTAAACGGTGACCTGTGATGTTACTTAACCTGTGTTTAGTATGTAGGACATTCTGTGCATTAACTGACCTAACAGAAGCATGTAGAGATTGAACAGAAGAGGCCCCAGGATTGACCCCTGAGGGACTCCACAGACCAGGGCTGTATGAACAATCTAATCTTGATACAACATTCTGTGTGTGTGTTTGCGTGTGTGTGTGTTCAGGAGGGCAGTGCTGAGGTGTTGGTCCCTGTGCCCAAGCACCTGGCTGCAGTGAGTGGCTCCGGACCCCAGGGCGGCGCTGTGGCCCCCATGACCGGGACGATAGAGAAGGTAAGAACTGTTGGTATTTGGTTTGTGTCATCCAGAGTGGATTTAACCATGTTTAACTGTCATTCAAGTAAATTAAACATGTTTTGTTCATTCCTGTTCCTCTCATGGATCCAGACCGTTGTGCGGACTCTCCCCATTGTCTGAAAACTTTATTTTTCCTCATGATTTTCCAGGTTTTCGTAAAAGCCGGTGACAAAGTGGAAGCTGGAGATCCACTGATGGTGATGATCGCTATGAAAATGGAGGTAAACATATCGACACAAACCCCTACCCCCGCCCCTTCTGTCTGAATTCTCCCATCACACACTTTATTCTCGCTTTCAAAGATCTTTAACCGGATCTATGTCTTTGTTCTGTCTTCAAGCACACGATCCGGGCGCCAAAGTCCGGAGTGATCAAGAGAGTGTTCTTCAGTGAGGGGTCGCAGGCGAGTCGCCACGCTGCTCTGGTGGAACTGGAGGAAGAGGAGGAAGAGGAGGCAGCAGCAGCACAGTGACCTGAACATGTTTAAACCAGAAACACCTCCTTCTTTTGTTTAAGGACCTTAAGAGCCGGAAGAGCCTCAATGTGTCATGTCATGGTTATTCCCTGTGCAGATATAATAGTTCACGTATCACATCTTGAATCTAATTATTGACTTATTATTAAGGGAACAGGAAGTGTAATGCTAATGCGGCTTACCCGTGCTTATACTAGCTTTAGCACAACATGTTTTGTGAAATCTAGAAGCGACAAATTCGACTATAATTAACATAATTTTGAGCAAATTCAAGACGAACATCCACCAATCGCTACCTTTGTGGTTTGAGCAGAGCCTGCAGGGTTCAGTAACTCGCACAGTATGCATCTGGACTCTCTCAAGTCACTGTAACAGACAGAAGCGACACTCGAACTCCCAGAGCAATCAATCTGACTGCTTTCAGTTGTGTGTAATCACAACATTACCGATATTTTCTGTTTCTGTCTGGTTTATTTCTATGTCATTATTATTGTTATTATCTTTCTGAAACATGGAGAGCACCAAGAGCAGTCATTTTGACAGGGCTGGTCCTGGACTGGCCGAGTCATGGTCTTTTCCTTTCAACTGTGTTTGTGTAGTTCAGTGATATTCACCAGTTTTAGTACTTATTACAGTTGGGTTGGAATTGGAGCCGTCAAAATGACTGCTCAGGGAGTGTCCACTGGGAGACCTAAGGGTGAGCTAAAGGAAGGTGTTTCTGTGAGGTTTGGGATGCAGCCCAGGAGCACACTAACATCTGGACTGAATGAACTTTGTATGACTTTGTATCATGTCTCAGATTTATTTTTTCATATTTTGTCCAAAGTCAAAATGGCATCAAAATGTTGAAACAGATATCAGCCAGAGTTCATCATGGAAAACTGGAACAAAGAAGTGAGCCTCAACATCTAGAACGGTCTAAAAGTGTGGGAGAAACTGTTACTGAAAACTAATATTTATAGAGTTAGACGTTTGTGGGAAAATGGGGAGGTTTCAAATAATAAACAGGAAACAGAGTGATCCAGATGTTTATATATGTGTGATATTATTCCATTAAAAAGCCTTGAGTTTAGTTCAGGATTTAAACCTTTCATCATTTTTTTGTATCAATCCAACTTTCAGGACTCTAATGAACGGTTTCAAACTGGTCTCAATCATATAAACACTCCCTGGACTCAAGCGACTGAAACATATCTAATTATTGCTGTAAAATATTTTATTGAAGTGGCCTTTTCAGATCAACTATTCTGTGACTTTTGAAATAAAACATTTTAATGTTTCTAATAGCAACCATTAAATTGTCTTCTCATGTATTACTGTATCAACATCTCTCCCAAAACTTAGTTAATTCAGTAAATGTGTGACTTCTCAGTTAATAATTCTATGAGCTTTAACTGTTGGCCTAACTTTTTAAACTTTCGTAGAAATGAAAGAGGATCCAAATATCAGACCTGTTTTTATGCTTTTACTAGAATCTATTTTAACTCCCATCTTCTCTGAATACACCCCAGACTCACTTTTGTCAGTCTGTCCAGGGCAGCTGTGGCTCTTGTAGTTTACCACGGAGAGATCAGTGACTTCTGGATGTAGTGTAAGAATCTGAACAGCTTCAACTTTAGGAAGACACTCATTTTCATAAAAATGTATTTATTTCGTAAATAGAATCTACAGAGAAAAGACAGACGGAGGAGAAACATCGGTCGACTTCTGCAAGTGTTTAACAGAACAAAAATAACTTATAACCAACATTGACAAAAGTCTTCATGTAACAAAAACCATTCAGTAAAATAATTCGACCAACAGAGATGGACCATGGACTTATTTATGGCGCCAAATCTGAGTGTACTGTGGGACAGGATCAGAGGAAGACGAGCTTTGAAAGACAATTACAGTTCTCTACATTTTGAAAAGTGGAAATATTCTCAACCAGAGTCCATTCGTTCACGACTGCAGATATATTATTAAACACATACGTTTGCCGTCATGAAATATGACTTGAAAAAACTATTATTTTCCAGTTTTTTTGTCCCAAGATAAATTTGTGTAACCGTTTGGAGATCAAGTACCATTGTCGAGGTTAAAACGGTTGCCTTCTGAGGTCTGACTGTTTACTCCCCCTGGTGTTAATTTGAGGTACTTCGTTCAAATTCCACCATGGATTATAAGAGTGATTGTTACTATTATAGATCCATGAGAGTGATATACAGAACAAGAGCAATGCTACATGCTAACTCTTAGCTTTGAGTTTGTAACCACATATCTCCCATTATTATTCCCTTGTGAAAAACAGACCTGGAGCTTACAGTTTAAACCTGGTCCATTTTCTACTTTGTTCGGATAAAGACAAAAAGTTAAGCATTTTAATTGTACTTCAAAAATACAACTTGCTAGCAACACGTGTTAGCTAAACGTTTCCCGGATTTGTGCTACATCAATAACGCTCCGTGTTTTCTAGCTAAACTTGTGTTAGCTAAACCGTTAGCCTAAAAATAAAAGCCCAAACCTTTACCAAATAAATTACCTGTGACCGTATCCACAACTTTATAGTGACATAACATTGTAAAGATTGAACATTAGTGACAAAGCCCCAATGCAAAATGACAGGGAAAAAACGTTAGCGGTTTAAGCTAGCTGCAGCTAAACACTTCACACTTCAAACATCCAAAACATGTCAGTGATGGTTGATGAATGGCGGTTCAAAAGGAACAAAAAGTAAATCAAAGTGATATGTTTCTTGTGCAAATCTGAGGCGGACCATAAATATATATATTTTATGACAAATATTTGAGAGCACATTCTGCCGTCTGGGGCAAGCAGCAGCCGCTGCGCAAAAGCATCGAATCATTCAAACTAGTGGAGTGTTGGTTTTATTAAGTTTTCCTTCATTATGATAAATTTAGTTAATTGAAAACGCTGATATTGAGCCAAAAATAATAGAGAAACTGCAGATGAAGTTGTGTTTAAAGTCCTTTATCATATGTAAGATATATTTCTCAAACATTTATCCCGTTTCCACCAGCCATAGCCTAACTCTACCCTGTCATACCCTACTGCCCCTCCCCTCCTGTATTAGTCAATTAAAAATATAGGTACCCGAGCTTTAATGTTGTCAGACTTCTTTTAACATATATTTCAGTTTCTCTTTTTTGGGTGAGGGCGCTGTGACTCACTGCTGTATTTAGAGCTCCACTACCGTGACATATCTGCTTTCTTTACCTTTGAGCTATTCGCTTTTCTGAATCTGAAATATACTGACGATTTGGCAGCGTTGTGCAGGCATTTTGGCTCAAAGAAAAACTCCACTGATTGAGTGGTGACTTTGACATTGTGTGTGTTGTTTTAAAGCAAGAAAAAAAAGCAGGTTAAATAGCAGTAATTTTAAATTTCAAACTATCTACTATCCAGGCCACTGGTGTTGATGCGACACTTTTGCACAAACAGCTGAAGGAGAAAATTAAAAAAGAGGAATCTCAATAACAACATCTGGAACCTTCAAAAATAGAATATATAGATATGGCTTTGAGAGGGTCACAGGAACCAGGAAGCAGCTCCCAGGGTAAAAAGTCGTTTTCTTCAGTTTCTGTATAATCAGGCACAAAAACATGAACCTTTTTCTTCTGCAAAATCCAGTCTTTGGTAACAGGAGATTAAGAACTGATAGATAAGTCCCGGTTTTCTCTTTTAGTCAGAAAAACTCAGATCTCAAAAGTTCTTCAGTTCTTCTCTTTGCTACATCCTCATTTTGTCTTTGAGGTTGCGTTTGTCGATTTGACCATTTAAAAATCAACTTTTTGTGCAGCACAGTGTGACATTTAGAGGCATTTAGAGGAAAGCGACAACAAGATGATCGGAGATAGAAATGAGCTGTGTGCACTGCCCATTTTACATAAAGACTAAATAACTAACAATTATAAAATGTTATTACAGTGGTTTATTCAGGTGTTTTATCAGGCCCTGAAAACTTCAAAACCCACATTCAGAACAGATTCTCACCAGTGCTTTGAGCAAGTTTCTCTGATTAATTAGCCACTTTTCTAATAATCATTTATACCAAATCAGCTCATATTTTGGAGAGACCCTGAGATATCATATTAACTGATTTGTGTCCCTCTCTCTAAATGCCACTAAATCCAACACAAAGCCGCCTTCATCTCTTACTCTACATTTGGCGATCTCTAAACTTCAGATCCTGGTCGGTATCTCCTCTCGGGCTTTAGTTGCGGTGGATCCTGGCCTGTAATCTCCATCGCTCTGGCTCTAGTAGCGGCGTTTATTGGTGCCGTTGATTCGGGACAGACGCGGTGGGACCTCAGCAATGCGTGGCCTCGATGGGGGACAGCGTCAGGATGCTCCGGTCGTTGGAGAAATTCTCGTGATCGCCCCATGACCTGAAATAGCAGCACGGATCGGGAATTACACATGGAAAACTCCTTGGAGAGGAAGAGGGGAAAGGTGCCAAAAATCCATCACGTTTGGGATTGTTTGTAGAGTTTAAAAGACAGTCATGTGGAGAAGTTAAAGCAGGGGGGGCATTGGGTCATCGCCGTCTTGTGGAGGGTTGGACCTAATTTCATGTGGTTATTTTTCTATTTAACTAAGCAAAAAAGTGTAATATTAATAACATTTTGGATAGATTATTGAGAAGAGAATAAATGTATAACATATTGATACAAGCCTTCATTGAGAACAGACTATGGATTCATTAAAATAAGTAACAGATCAGACTGAGGTCAAAACTGGGAACACTCTGGGGGCCGCATAGACATATGGATCGGGCCAGATGCGGTTCCCGGGCCACACTTTGCCCAGGTCCGGGTTAGAGGTTGGGATGAATGGACAAGTGGAATGTTGAAATGGATGGAGTAGTCATTTAAGTCTCTGATCTGGGCACAAAAATAAGTGAAGTGTTAAAACCACATAAATCGGACTTTGGTCTCTGTCTCTTTGGACCAATGGCTCTGAGTATTTGTCATCATTGCATCGTTGCCAGTTAAAGCTCCTTGGCAACGGTTACTATAAACAAAACAAGCACAATGTACATTTCATTTGACAAAACAATAAATGTTCTTCATGTTTAGCAACGTTAACACATTTTGTCAGATTTTCATCATATTTCTGATCAAAACTACTTTGGCACAACGAGCACCAGCGATACTGAGGAGAGGAGTTAGACCAATGGGTAAATGGCGATCGATGCCTCATTTTAACCACACATTTTCCCATAGTGTCCTTATTGTACAGTTTGATTGTGCACCAGGTGATGAGACTGAAATGACTCCACACAGATAAAAGAAAAGAAAAGGCAAGCTCACATTCATACAAACAAACTAAAATTGTAACCACTAGTAAACTATCTTTGCTCAGGTTTGGGGCCGTCTAAGTCTCTACCACACATTCCCCATTATGACTATATGTCTGGCTTCAATACTATGTAGTTTAAACCCTAAAGACCTTTTTAACACAGAAACAAAACCGTTGTTTGGACGAGCCGTGGTGCATTCCTTGAGATAACAGTAGACAACAGTTTTAAGATCTAGAACACTGAGCTTCTCTCACTGGCTTTCTGTTTAAACACCGGGGAACTGCGTCGGGTTAGACGAGCCTTTAACACTTCAGATACTGTGGTTCTGTCGCCTGCTTTTACTTTACACAAAGATGCTATTACAGGAGGTTCTGAACTTAAATTTGAGGTGAGATTTTAGTCAGACGTGGGAGGATTGTCTGCTATTCCTTCGTAAAGGGTTTTAAATGATTTTGTTCTATATTTTTCCTACTGATTTGACTTCATGCAAGAGTCATTTGTCTGTGGTGAGAGATAACATTATGTTCTAGTCTTATTTCAGGCTGTGACAAGGTTTTGTTGTGTCTGTCGAGGTAAATAACTGCAATTCTTTCAGACTAGTCAAATATCTTTTGATACAAAACCCATTGTATATAACCTAAATATATAAATTAATTTTATGATCATGGACGAGTTAAATTTTTTAAAATGTCAACATTTGTGATTTTCCAATTATCCATTCAAATTGGGGAGCTGGTTTTCCAGGAGGAATATTCGTAATACAGTTGCAACCTCTGAATATGGAAGTTGTAAGTTCTTCTCAACTTTAGCAATATTATTACTATGACATGTTTTGACAGCATACTTCTATAGATCCAGGCCTCAGTCCTGGATCTAGTGCCTCAGTCCTGGATCTACAGCCTCAGTCCTGGTTCTACAGCCTCAGTCCTGGTTCTACAGCCTCAGTCCTGGTTCTACAGCCTCAGTCCTGGTTCTACAGCCTCAGTCCTGGTTCTACAGCAGGAAGGTCGAAGGACAGTGGTCATGCCGCTCCCTCCTATCCTATGTGTTTGTTAATATTGCTTTTGAACTGGAATAAACTCTCAGAGGAAAAGTGTATTACTGACACATGTCATGATAATAACGCCATCTTCGCCATCCAATGCAAGATCGCCATCTTTCCTTTAGTACATTTGGTTTAGAAGAACCACAAAACAACAAGATGAACCTTCCTAAACTAATATGAACAGTTGTCATGTTTTCAAATGGACATTGATTTTAGCAACATAAAATTGCATATACGTACCAATTCTGACATTTAAGACACTTCAAAAAGTGGAAAATGCAAAGTTCTCGAAGCTCTGTGATCACACAAACGTTGAAAGAGGAAAAGTCGACAACATTATGCAGATTTTGAGACGTACAAAGACACAGACATTGGACACATAGACATACAGAGTTAGTACAAAAGTCTAAAGGCATCTGTGGCCTCATGCAAACAAGACAGCAGACAGGGGGCGCTCTTGTGTCGCAGCGCACAGAGAGAGCAGGTGGAGACGGGTGCACAGGTGTGGAAAACAAACATGCCCATCACATCGCTTCAGAAGCACGTATAAGGCTCCGGAGGTCAGTACAGACAGGTCCATCAGGGCTGCGTTCACAATAGACACCAAACACAAGGAAAACGGGCGGGACATGAGACAAAAAAGGACTTAGACAGCTAGCTTGCGCATGTGTGCTAGCTACGGTCAGACCAACCATTAGATTGTCTTTTCATTACAAGATATGAAAACTGTAAAACTGTATTTTGGTTTGATCCTGGGAGTCAGAGTGTTAACCAGGACTAAACCCAAGTGTGAACGCAGCCTTGCTTTACAGACAGTAGAAGAAAGACTACACTTCCCAGCAGCCTCTCTGGCGCTCACAGCAGACTGCAAGGAATAAAAGTACAATTCAAGATTTGAGACGTTTTGTAGATAAATATATTTGGATAATGAGAAAGTAACTGAGGTAACAGATCAGCCATGTTTGTGACTTAAAAGTATGTTGACTCTGACAAGGTACACGTCGATACAGGTCAATCAACTTAAAGAAACTTGCAAACAGGGACGTCACACGCATACAGGGGGAATGTGATCCATCCATCCATCCATCCATCCATTTTCTACCCTTTAATCCATTTCTGGGTCAGGGGGGTGCCAATCAGAGATGCCACCCAAGTCTCATAGCACCAGCCCCTCACTGACCCTCTGCAGGTGGTGAGTCCACAGGAGGACGGCTGCTCTCTAAGTGTGAGCATAGCCTTGATCTTTCAGTGGGGGATTTGGGCAAAGCGGGGTTAAGTGTCTTGCCCAAGGACACAACGACAGCAGTCATCAGTGGGAGTCGGTGCAGAGGTGGGAATTGAACCCACGACCTTCTGGCCTTAAGGCCAATGCTCTACCAACTGAGCTACTGTCGGTGAATGTGATCCATAATCTGAATATTTCACCTTCTATTGGTGTGAAAAATACCTATATTATTATGTTTCTTCACATTAAAACGGGAGATCATGACGTCCCTATTTGCAAACAAATAGCAATATATTGGCTCAAAATGGCTCAAAAGATCAGATTCTGAAATGGCTTTGAATCATTATCCAGAATCCAACTACATGCCTAAAATATAACTTTTAAAAATACTGTCCGTTCCAAAGTCTATAAATAATCTCTTTACAAATAGCAGCAGATTCCAATAATCATAGTGTAATTACTAAGCGACAGTCTTGTCTCAACTAGACATTAAAAACAAGTTTGAGCCAAAGATACAGGAAAGTTTTTGCTTGAGTACAACGTGAACATTCTTCTTTAATGCAGGGTCTGAACTAGAGATATGGGCTGGAAAACCTATAGACGTTAATAATGTATAGTAACTGCTCATAATCCAAGCAGTGGTCGACGTTTACATAATTTGAAAGAATGCCGTTCATGCACAGTGCTCCAGCTACGGTCTGGCTCCAGTACAATACAAAGGGGCGTAATATCACCTTTACAAGTCATAAATAGTTGAGATATATGTGTCATATATTGGGAATGCAGAGTATAGAATCGAGCGAGTATATGTCTACCCTTTTATGGCAGTTTCCTAGCATTAAGGCCAAAAACGTGGGTTCTTCCAGGAGCAGATTGGATAAGAACTAAAGCGATCCATTCCTAATTGACCTGTGATTGTATATTTATAGCAGACGCAAGCACAAGCAGCTACAATGCACTTCACTGCCGCATGGAGGAACTGATTGAGCAGTGGTCAAGATTGTTTATTTTTTGAGCCAAGGTTAGCGTCGCAATCAATCATTCCCAAAGGAAGACGTCCGGATAGTGCAGTTGTCTGAAAGTGGACGGAAAAGCTACTGGAACAACGTACTTGGATCCAAGGAAAAGTCTAATGTAGATTAATGATGGAGACACTGCCGCTGGTGATACGACAGGGGTCTAACCGGTTCTCAAAAGGCTGGTGTAGCAGCAGGTTTTCATTTCAACAGCAGGGGCACACAGACTCCTCCCATGTCTCCGGGTTTGGACTGAACTCACCTGAGGAAATGGGTGGAGTCTGGTGCGCTGGCGGTTTGTTTGGAATGAAAACCTGAAGCCACACGGCCCTTTGAGGACCAGTTCCCTCGGGTCTTCAACCTTAGAAAAGAAGTTCCACATTTGAATCCTGTTTGACATTGATATGACACAGCTCATTGTTTGCATAATAACTAAACTCACTGAAGAGAATTATGTTGTTTTGTATCTTTTAAGTATCACGTGTTATTTTTGGCCATTAACAATGATAATGAGACTACGTTGTCTCATTATGGATAGTTAATCTGTGGGATTTGACTGATTTTTTGTCAGTGTCTCTATCAGGGCTGTCCAACTTTTTTATGTAAGAATATTTTTGTGCTCTAATTGAGCCCTGGTGATCATGTAAAAAATAAAAATTCTTTTTGGGATTAGGCACATTCCAAATTCCTTATACTGAGTCTGGGGGTAGATTTGCTGCTGTTCCAGTATCTTCTCGAGCTTCGTGATGGTTCCATTCTACAGCCTATGACCAGCACTTAACCAGAACCATATCCAGTCTGGCAAAACAAGACCATGGAGAAACCGGCAGAACTGTCCAACTGCATCTACATAATTTGGATTATCTGCTTTTGCCTATATTCAAGTTCAAACAGGACAAAAATTAGAGCCATCTTGACGTCCAGTCGTTCACAAACTGACCACTGGCGGCAGTATAACACCACAGAATCCTCCAGCAAAGATGCAAGAACAGTCTACAGCTCTCACTCGCAGCCTCCGCCTCAAAATAAAGGCTTCATCTTCATTACAGGGAAGGAGGAGGAGGAGGACGGGGGGAGTTGATGGTTCAGCGGAAAGCATCCGTTGGGTCGATGGATCGATGACCCTCAAACCACCAGGGCCCAAGTGACAGACGCAAAACCAGGGACCGAAGTGTGATGTCAGGCCAAGCCGCAGCACAGGCCTGGATCAGTTTGTGTTCCGGAAACTCTAATGTGGTTTGGATCGATGTGATTTAAGAGAGAAATGTGTGAACATTTTGCCACATTGATCAAAAGATACACAATATGGATATCTATGAGTATATGAGCTCTAATGAAGAAGCCATGTTTCCATTTACATTTTCCATAGAGATTTTGAATATTTTACATTTTTACCAATTTTGCCCTTTTAATTAAACTGCAAACTTAAAATGACTTGCAAAGACTCTTTTCTTGGCAGCAGTCTTTAGGTCTCTTGATGGTATAAATTGATCAGTCAACAATTATTTATACAGAAAAATTAGATCACAAGAGTCAGCAGAGTTTGGATTATTGTAATTTCAATCTTGCTTTGACGCAAAGATGGAAACGGCTCCATATCTGTGAGGTCCTGTCAACTTTGTTTCAGTAGATTTTGACCTAAAAATATAATTTAAATATCTTGCTCCCAGACAGGAGTGCACATAAATGTCCTTTCTTTACATAGACTGTATGTTTAATGCCCCTAGTGGTCCAATAGCGTCATTACAGTCATACTTTAGTTGCCTTTTATTAACCGATTACTGCTGCATTCCACCTGCTGGAGTTTAGACAGAACTGGTACAATTCTATCATGTATTCTTTTTGCACCTGCTTTCATTTAAACACACATGTGTTGACCTTTATTTGTGAATAATGTCATTAAAAAAGGAATAAATAGGGATATTTCAAAACTTTTGTTATGTTAGATTATCTATATGGTATTTATGTACGTGGGACCTGATATCTGGGACAAATACATAAAATGTAGATGCAAATTTAAATATTACACACCCTAATCTGTCTCAAATAAAATGTAAAACTCAGAGATATGAAGTATTGCTTTTAATATTACAACGCAGAATATAAGAGTCTATGGCAAATGTTAATGGGAATTTCACTTCACGTCAACTTCGGAGAATGTACAAGATAGAAATGAGATGTGTAGTAAAAATGCATTGGTTTCTGCCTCCTTTCAAAAATCAATTCCACATATTCTATAGTAACTGCATGCATTTGCCCAACACTTTCTCTCACATGTGACCAAAACCAGCAACAGAGCTCTATGGTTTGGATTCGGACAGACGTGGATTATGTTAAAGTGCTTTACAGACCAGAGCTGCTGATCCACTCCTCTTTGGACAAGCATTCACGAGTTTAGAGATGTAACAAAGAGCTGGACGACACAGATTCAGGCAGACAGAAGAGAGGCAGCTTCCCAAAAACCCTTCTGACCCAGACGGAGACCAGGGCACTCTCTATACAGCAACCTGGCCTCACACAAATGTAGCAGTCCTCCATCTCTCATACAGTTTTAGGGCTCTATAAAGGTGACTTTTTCACATCAAAATAGTGACAAAACTCTGGCACCTAAAGGGTTTCCTTGAGTACATTCTGAACGTCGAAAAACTAGATTTACAAATTGGGAAGAGAAGAATATTTCAAACAGACTAGAACTGCTGATCCCATTGGCTTATCTCGCTTTGAGACCGTCAAAACAAACTAATGGAATAAATTACCTTCTATTTAAGCTTTTATTTTAACCAATTTAAGTTTAGTACAAAATCTTGAATAGGTTGCATTCATGTAACATTACAACGTTCCTTAGAGCCTATAGTTTAACGTTGTGGTGGAGGGGAGCTGAAGAATCTCTCCTAGTAACTATAGCCTCATTTCCACCAGCCCCACTCTGCCTAACTCTATATGGTTTTAGAATCTGGTACAATATCCTGGCAACCTGCCCACAACAAACAAGGTTTGCGGGGATTTCTTGTTAAACATGGCTTCAAGCAGCACTCTGACCTATCACAGTCAGTTTTGAAAACTTTAGTACCAGCTCGGCCTGAATAGAACCAGGACCAAGAGGGACTAAAGAAGGACCTGGTACAGCTTATACAGGAGAAACACTCACAATCAGGGTAGAGTAGAATTGAGTAGGGTAGAGTAGAGTAGAGTAAAGTAGAGTAGGGTCAAGTAGAGCTAATGGCAACTGTTAAAAGTCAGATTCTATTTCAGAGCTAATTTCTCTAGTTCCTGGGGCAAATCGAATTAAACACTTTTTTTGTCAGTTCATATAAACTATGGTCTCATTATCATAATATGGAAGCTTTGTGAATGAAATCGCAAACAAATAATAATATTTTTTCAAACTCCCAAACAAACATACAGAACAATCGTATAGAACATGAAACCAACCCATTCATGTCATTTTTGAACATCTAAACGTTTTACATTTCTGTCACGGTCCAGGACTAAAAAGAGACCACACCTTCCCCACCTCCTTTTACAGACATGCTACAAAAACGTTGAAAAGAAGAGCTCTTTCTCGATACATTCAGATCCCACCACCACAGCCTCAAACCCTCAGGTCTTCTGTCTGCCACAGTTGCCCCACCTGGAGTGTCTCCCCGCGGACGCACAGTGGGGGGCGCCGTTGTGGCAGTGGCCGGTCATTTGCTCCATGAAGCCGACCAGGCGGGAACAGCCGCTCTGCCCATGTTGGTAGCAGCACAGGGACTCCACACAGCTGAGGGCCGGCGCCTGGGAGGCTGATAGAGACTGGAGGAGGGGTTGGGGGAAGAGGGATTGAGGGGGTGGAGGGGTGGCGGTCGATGGGTGAGGAGAGAGGGCGGCGGGGAAGTAGGGAAATAATCGTGAAGGAGAAAAAAAGAAGACAAAATTTACTGTTAGTTTATTGTTATTTAATTCAGGATTCCAGGAGTTAAGAGGAGAATAAATAATAAAATCAAGGTTTAAAATGGTGGACTACTTCTAATAAAAGGTTCAGGGCTCTATTGCATGAATGAAAAAACGCAAAATTGGCAATTAAGGGGTTAACCGATTTTTACATTAGAACCTTTGAACCTTTTTGGGCCAAAGTAACGGAAAAGCTGAGCTCCATGACGCCACAAATGCATTTCTGTCATTGATTTTAGTCGTTCTCTATCTCCTACCACATTTGCTTCTGCTGCCAATTAATTGGCATTTTGGATCAATAAAGTTTTCTGAAACTATAACTGGACTATTCTAAATAATTTTAGAATTACGTACTGCATTTTGTGTTCGCATTGCCGGCAGAAAGTCAGACCTGTTCCCGGTGCATGTTGGACTGCGCCAGGGCTGCCCTTTGTCACCGGTTCTGTTCGCTCTCTTCATGGACAGAATTTCTAGGCGCAGCCAGGGGCCGGAGGGGGTCCGGTTCGGAGACCACAGGATTTCATCTCTGCTGTTTGCAGACGATGTTGTCCTGTTGGCTCCAACGAACCAGGACCTGCAACATGCACTGGGGCGGTTTGCAGCTGAGTGTGAAGCGGCTGGGATGAAAATCAGCACCTCCAAATCTGTAGGTTGTGATAAAGATGGAGCTGAGCCGAAAGGCAAAGCTCTCAATTTACCAGTTAATCTTCGTTCCCTCCCTCACCTATGGTCATGAGCTGTGGGTAATGACCGAAAGAACGAGATCACGGAAACAAACGGTCGACATGAGCTTCCTCCGCAGAGTGGCTGGGTGCTCCCTTAGAGATAGGGTGAGGAGCTCCCACCGGGAGGAGGGCCCGGGGAAGACCTATGACACGCTGGAGGGACTATGTCTCTCAGCTGGCCTGGGAACGCCTTGGGGTCCCCCCGGACGAGCTGGAGGAAGTGTGTGTGGATAGGGAAGTCTGGGCGTCTCTGCTTAGACTGCTGCCTTTGCGACCCGGAAACAGATGAAGCGGAAGAAAATGGATGAATGGATGTACTGCATTTGTTTGTTCAGATGGAATGATGTGTTTCTGCGGCTGGACATTAATAAAGTTAGGGATGCACCAATACCGATACTGGTATCAGGTTGATACCATAGGCTTGTGCTCTTGTAGGACCTGATCCAGGGAACCGATGCCCACATTTTTAATTCACATGTCACGACAGCACACAGCTGTGCGGCAGGTGTTGCTGTGGTGGTCTCCGAAAGTCTGCAGCGAGAAAGCGTTTTACGGCTCGCCGCTAAGCTAGCGGCAAGCGGATGTCGGTCCTGCGGCAGTTTGTTAAAGTGAACAAGTGACAAGAGTAGAGTGGACTGTACGTTGTGTAAAACTGTCATGAGGTGGGTCCAAAACAAACACGTATTACACCAGCAACTTGATCAAACATTAACAAACTCGACACCAAGAGGAGTATAGCACCTTTGCTATCACCGGGCCACAAAAACAACCAACATAGCATTTGTATGAGTGGAATATGATAGTTACTCTTATTGTTGACTGTTAAAACAATCACTAAAATGTTTAACTGTTAAAGTATTTTCTTATTATATAACATTATATAACACAACGCAGTACTCGTATCGATATTCGGTATCGGCAAGTACTCAAATTAAGGTACCCTTATCGGTTTTGAAAAAAGTGGTATCGATGCATCCCTAACTAAAGTATCTATCCATCTACTTACATCACACTCAGAGCAGTTTTCTGCCTGTACATTAGTTTTGTCAAAGACAGCAACGACAGGAATGGTCTCAAATATAATAATCCCAACTATGATCATATCCTTGTCTTCAGGCCTGGAGTGCTACAGTTCAGTGTTATGAGTCTGAATGAAAGTGCTGCCACTGAGGACGCGGGGCTCGGGTGTCAGGGCAGAGTCAGCTCCCAGAGGACACACACACACTTTCACCCTGAGGACAGGCTTCAGGTCACAATGCAATACATGTATTCAGAAAACTAGAGATATTATACTTAATTCTTGCTTCTTCATTGTGCGAAAGTAAGATTGTTTTATGAGTTATTGTTCACTTATCTTGTGCTGTGTCCTCATTCCTACTGTTCTGTAACTGGTGATGCAATACTGACATTTCCCCTCTGTGGGACATTAAAGATTAAGGATCTCTTCCTCTTAATCTAAACTAAGGTAAAACACAAGACCAAACCTGCAAACATCCAGAGTCTGAAATTAAATTAAATTGGCTCAAAATGATGAGTTTCAATTTAATTTAATTTGTTGGTCAATACAAAATTAGCAGCAGCCAGCTGCACTCTGACCAATCACTGTCAGTTAGAAACCTTTAGTGCCAGGTTAGCCTGGATAGAACCAGGACCAAGAGGGACTTAAGAAGGAGCTGGTACTGGTTCCACAGGACCAGTGGAGACACTCCAAATCAGGGGAGAGTAGAGTAGAGAAAATTAGTAGTAACCCCGAACACGTTTTAAATCCTTACTTTTTTGTGAATGCTGTATTTGTCTCAGTGTTTGACGAGGAGCTGCCCAGAGAGTCTGTCTGGGGATTTTGTGGCCGCAGCTGCCCTGAGTCAGCACCTAAAGGCCCGAGCTCAGTGTGCTGCAGTGTGTCTTTGACTTCTTAAACTTTTACAATTCCTAACTTTTTCTCGTCTTTGTGGTTGATGTGAAACGCACTCGAGCAGTGAAATATTGATGAAGCCGCTCTCTCCATGGTCTTTTGAGTTAGAGCCGCTATAAATATCAGTGATGAGAGAAAGGGAACAAGTTAACGACCGTAAAAATGTGAAACAAAACAAGGAAAAGGATAGAAAACTTCTGCAGTGAGGCCAGGAAGCTTACCTCCAGGTTTCCAGGTCCATTTTTATCATTAACACAATGTTTATTTAGGTTTGTGTGTTTGTGTAGAATAAGGGAAAGCAAAGCAAGCAGAGGCAAGGGGAGAACATGCAAACTCCACACAGACAAGTCCCCAGAAACGGCAAAGGCACATGTAAGATGTATTCACTATACAAAGCAGCCTCAGTCCTGGATCTACAGACTCAGTCCTGGGTCTACAGACTCAGTCCTGGGTCTACAGACTCAGTCCTGGATCTACAGACTCAGTCCTGGATCTACAGACTCAGTCCTGGATCTACAGACTCAGTCCTGGATCTACAGATTCAGTCCTGGGTCTACAGACTCAGTCCTGGGTCTACAAACTCAGTCCTGGGTCTACAAACTCAGTCCTGGATCTACAAACTCAGTCCTGGGTCTACAAACTCAGTCCTGGGTCTACAAACTCAGTCCTGGGTCTACAAACTCAGTCCTGGGTCTACAGCCTTAGTCCTGGGCCTACACCCTCAGTCCTGGGTCTACAGCTTCAGTCCTGGGTCTACAGCTTCAGTCCTGGGTCTACAGCTTCAGTCCTGGGTCTACAGCCTCAGTCCTGGGTCTACAGCCTCCAGTGACGTGCGGTGAGGTTGGTCAGATGAGCATAGTGTATCATATACATCAACACCATCTACAGAGCGGGTGATTCACAATTTGTTTGGCAACAGTAGAATATGTTTCATGTCTGCATTTTTTGCTCAAATAAAGTATGTAAAAAGACAGTTTAAAAGTATTACCTTATACATGAAGTTCGGACCAGTTTCATTTTTAAGTCCAGATAATAGTTTGAGTGTGTAGATGTAATCTTCCATTTGTAAATGAGTCCAATCAGTAATAAAAGTAAAAAAACGGGTGTCTCCAAGACGTGTTTTGCTAGCTGCAGCCGACTCTCGGGTGCATCCGATTTCTAAAACAAAGCTTTCTTACCATTTACCTCTCTTCCTTATCATTCCTATCATCATTGGAAGCAAAACATTACCCTAAGTAGCTTTAAAATCATTTTAAAATGTGTTATTTTTAGAAAAACCTGGAGCTGCCCTTAGCAGAGGAAGAACATGAGAGGAGCTTTCTGATGGAATTGGATGCAACGAATTCTGGGCTCAAAAGCTGGCCTCCCTTGGTGACATTACAAGTCGTGGTTGAGCGCGATTAAGACCAATATTTGTTTTCAAAAACACAATTTATGAGCCATCCTCTCAATTGTAGACATGTTGATTGTAAAGGAAAAACGTTTTAACTTTGTATCCGCGATAAACAGAGAAAACAGTTTGATAGCGTCACACAGGCTCCTTCCACTGTGAGCTGTTGCTTTCTCCGAAGAGAAGCTCGCCTCACAGCGCCGCTCTGTCAAATATGAAATAAATATAACAAAAATATGCAATTTTGAGTAAAAAAATTAATTAAATAACGCCAAGTTCTATTGAAATAATACAATAGCACACATCACTTGATATAGTGACCAAGTATTATTGATTCCATTTTACTATTTTTTCTTTCCATGATCACAGGTGAGGCTGGGCCACACCTGACTGCACTCACTGACAGCCTCAGTCTTGGGTCTACAGCCTCAGTCCTGGGTATACAGCTTCAGATTCTTTGATCTGTTTGAGGACTTACAAAGATGTTGATTCACCGACAGAGGCAACTGCAGTTGTGATTTAGGGTGGCCTACAGCAATCTAGTAAACTACATTTGCCACTGCATTTGAACAATGTCAAACATGTTGAACACTATAATGCCTTATTAAAAGTTGTCTTACTCTCTGGGGACTCTTAACAAACACAGACTTCCACTTGGAGCACCACGACACAGCAGGCACATGCTTGAAACATGGAACAGGACGGCTCATCACTATTGCAGGCATATCTTTGATATTTCCTGGCTGTTTCTTACCCCATACTTTAATGACAGTGAAATACAAACTGTCCTGACCAAATGTTTTGGGGGAAATCTATCTCTACATGCAATGGGACA